CACTCGTCGTTACTTATTTATTATATAACTACTAATATATTTTACGAAAACGATAACGTTAAACGGTATTTAACCGAAAACGAGAATATTTATTTAAATATCGGTATTTAACGATAAATAGTTTAAATACGTTTAACACTTTTAAACCTCGTACTACGTCGGTAACCGACGGACCGGACTATTATATAATATAAAAGATTATAAAATAACTCGTATACGAATTAACGGACTATCGTGTGTAATTAAAAGACTAACTACAACTTCCGATACTTTTTACCCGAGTAAAAGTAAAGAGATTAAAAGAAGTCACGAGAAAAACTAAGGTTTAGTTTATCGAAAAAGGAGGATAATTATTATAATCGATTCGTAACCGAAGGTTACGAATTAAGTGACTAAACTTATATAATAAAGCGTAGTATAACTAGTCCCTAACCACACGTTAACACCACGTTAGTAAAAAGCCTTTTCTCCTTAAATAAGAGGACTCCCTTCTTCCCACCGGGAAGAAGGGGTAAGAATTAGTCTCTGTTACAATACACACCTACCTTCGCCCTCGAAACCAATGCTTTTCATCAACTAATCTATTGTGAAGACCTATCCTACAATCACTTATAACAAAGGAGAAAGGCTTTTTACTAGTGTGGCGTTAACGTATGGTTAAGGACTAGTCACACCGCGCCTTATTATGTAAGTTTAGTTATTTGATTCGTGGTCTTCGGTTACGAATCGATTATAACAGATTTAAAATCTCGGAAACTAATAAAAAAGTATACCGATTCTTTACGGTAATTTTATTTAACTTATAATAATTAACGTAAAGTCGTAAAATACCGTTCTTTTTTAATATAAATAATATAAGTACGTCGATTAACGACTTAAAAGAACGGATACGTTCGTTTTATAAGTTATTTTTAATATAAAGTCGTAACTTTTATATAATTCACATTTAAATAACGAGTAAATCGTTTTATATAAAGATTACGTATTTAATAAAATATTTATTATTAATATAATTAATTTATTTAAACGACGGAATAATTATCGTTTCAAATATATTAAAGATATTCGTAAAGTCTTTTAATTTAACGGGTAATACGACTTTTTTACGACTCATTTACTCTTTTATATAAATAAAAAGTATAGTCTTTAAAAGGTGTTTACTTAAAACTATCGGGGAGTGTTATAACCGTATATATTATTATTTCGTTTCGTATAATTTTTATAACCTTTTTAAAGTTTTAATATAAATCTTTAAGGTTTTATACGTAAAACGTTATAATACTTTTATTAAAATATTAATATTTAACGTTTTTAAACTTATATTACTTAATAAAATAAAGTTAATATTTAAACTCTTCGGTTTATCGAGTACGATATAAGAACGAATCGTCTTTTTAATCCTTTTACGAAAGTTCGTAAAAGTAATAAAGACGTTTTAAATCTTAAAAGTCCGAGTCGTAAATACGTTTATTAAATACGTTACCGGGTCGAGGTGTTTCGTTTTTTTTTTAAAAATTAAAACCGTTTTATAAATTATATATTTATAATATTTAACTTTATAACGGTGTTTAAAGTAATAGTCGTTTTTTTTTACGACTCTTTTATAATATATTATTAACGTATTTTTTAATAATTTATATTTTATTTATATTACCTTTTTTTTTAAACTTAAAAAAAACGATTAAAGGTTGTTTTAACTTAATAAAAATTTTTATAATAGTATTTTAAATAAATACGTTTTTTAAGTAATTATTTTATTATATTTAAAGTAAATAGTTAAAGGTTTTTTTTATAACTCTTTTTTATTTTATAAATAAAAAGGTTAAAACCCCGTTATATTTCTTCTCTTATCGTTTTTACCATTTTTATAACCGTTCGAATAACGTTAATACTTCCTTTTTTAAAACACGTCCTTTTACGGTTTATCGTTAAGTCGTTTAGGACTTTTTTATAAATTACGGACGTTATTAATAAAACGATTTCCGGTTTATTATATAAATAATAATTCGGTTTTTACGTATTAGTTTTAAAGACTAATCTTTTTATAATCGATCGTTTTATTTAACGTATACTTAAGTTAATTATAAATAAAAAGTTTTTTTTAAAAATTTAACGGAAAAAGGTATTATTTACTCTTTTAAAAAACGTAAGTAATTTAAAAATTCGAATAACGGTTAATTAAGTCGAAAACGTACTCTTTTATATAATTTATAAGTTTATATTAACGAGTTATTTACGGTAAAAACGAGTATCGTTATTTACTTTTTAAAGTTATTTTAAAAACGTTCGAGTCGTTTATACTTTTTTAAATCTTTAACGTTACGTATATACTAGTTTTACTACTTTTTAAACGGTTTATTTATATAATTATAAACGACGACGACTTAATTATAAAGTTTTAAGAATTCGTATAATTTAACTTTAAATATTATTTTTAATTTTATAATTTAAAATTTTTATTCTTTAAAAGTAAAATAATTCTTATAATTTTTAAATTTTTAAGTCTTTTAATTTAAATTTTTTTTTAAATTTTTTCGTTAAATTTTAAACTATTTTTTAATTTAAAAGAATTTTCTTTAAATAATAAGGTTTAAAAAAAAAGAAACGGTAAATCTTTTTTTAATCTTTTTACTTTAATAAAAACTCGTTAACGTTTTATATTTTTAAAAGTTACGATCTTTTTTTTAAAAAACTCGTTTTTTTTTAAACGTCGTTAGTTTTTTTAAACGTTTTTCCCTCGTTATTCTTCTCTTTTACTTATTCTTTTATAATAGTATTAATTTTACTACATTTTTCTCTTTTTTCTTTATTAATCGGTACTATTATTACTACTTTAATACTTAAAGATTCGGTCGAGTCTTCGATTATTAGTTATAAGTTAAAGTTTTCGAGAATAAAGTCGACGTTTACGTATAAAAGACTCGTAAAACCTTACGAATATAAACGTATAACTTGGTTCGACTTAATAAAAGGTAAATTTATCGTTTCTTTTCTTTTAACTATTATAAAAAAGTATCCGTAAAAAAATTAAAATTATTATAAATAGTTATAAAATAAGTCTTTATAATAAATTAATTAATAAAAACACTAGTTTCGAAGACGAAGGTAAATATATATTATAATAAAGACTAATTCTTACCCCTTCTTCTTAGAGGGAAGAAGGGAGTCCTCTTATTTAAGGAGAAAGGCTTCTTATTAACGTGGCTAACGGTTAGCGTGTGGTTGGGGACCAGCCACACCGCGCCCTATTAGGTAAGCCTAGTCACTTGATTCGTAGTCTTCGGCCACGAATCGATCATGGCAGTAAGCCTAGTTACTTGATTCGTGGCCTTCGGCCACGAATCGATCATGACATTTTATTATTTATTTATCCCCCTTTAATCCCTTAACAGCCTTGAAACGAATTGTAACAAGTAAAATCAGTCCAACCACAACGTAGTAACGAGTTAATAGAAGCACCCGCACGTTCGACGAAGGAGGACATGTTAAAGTTTCAACCACGAGGAGATAACGTGAGTGGGTATTTACACCGGATGAGTAATTGGTCGGGATTGACCCTAGTGGCCCGACCCAGGCACCAAGGCGCCAACAAACAAATTATTATTCTTCACAGCCAGAGCCGAAATCAAGTGGGAATAGAAAGCGGCAAACTGCCACGATCATCCTCACCACACGACGCCGACGACGTGCACCCACGACACAGGTGTTGTAAACTACCTGTGAAGCGCTCTACGTTACTTACACCCTGCCACGCGCGAAATACCAGAGACGAAGTCTGTAACATGTCTACACGACAGGCGACACTGTTAGCAACACCCTTCACAGGCGAGGAGGCAACACCACTCGTCATATGCCGCGATGGGCTAACGAATATGATATAAACCAGGTCACTTTATCGTCGAGCACTGAAGTTGTCACTTGACTGGGCAGTTCATAGACACCTATGGCGCGGGCAGGCTTTGTACATTCGATCGCTCTTTGAAGCAAACAAGAACATCGCAAGCCCAAGACAACAAAGGGTAAGTCATCCGCCAAACCGTGGAAACACGGGAATGTATACAACGTGGACAATAAATCTAATGCTACTAAACAGGCGCTGCTCAAGGAAACCGAGGATTTATTGGAAAAGTGGAAGCACCCAGAACCATTCGCTTTCCCGACAGCTCCAGGCGGTCTGTTCAACCCCATATGGCAACTGCATGCCACGAAAGCATCGTTCAGTCGGCTGACCTCCCCACAGGCTCGAAATACGAAAGAAATCTGCCGGCGCCCATTAGTGACCGTACGTTTAATTCATGAACATAGGCTCGTTGAGACATTTACAATGTCAACGTTTTGCTAACCGAAGTGACGAACAGCGCCTCCAACTCTAAAGTTTTAGGCGGTGCATATGCGGTCTTTATTACGCGCATCAAGCCCTAAAACCGGAGACAGTTGGGATTTAGTTGGACATCCTCAACGACGTGATACACCGCTGAGACTGCAGTACCCCGCTCACACACCCTACGAGCGCTGATGATTATGGACTGTCCAACTCATAACATTATTTGACAAAGAGCAATCAGACAAGCGCCCTGATCATCTTTCTTGCATGTTGTAGAGATAGCAGCGTCGGGTAGACATAAGGCCGTATATAACCCAAAACAACCGTCATTGACATACTGTTCCTACGGGACCAAGAAGACACCTAAGACAAAGAGAAACTACCTTTTTGACGAAATTTAATTCGCTTCCTTGTAAGATCACTTGTAACAAGATATTCTTGTGGACGCAACACAACCATACCGTAAACAAAGCGCCAGAGTACGAAAGAGACAAGAAGTCAAGAATATTATCTCCTCATTCATAACCCGTGTGCCGTAAAATAAATAACTAAGATGGGGCTTTAATGTACAACCCGAACATGAAAAGACAAAACCATTGTGAATCCGTGACCCCATTGCGATGACACCCAAACGATCCCGAAGAGGATTAAAAAACCATAAAAACCACTAAACCATCTACAGCTCCTGGCTGGCGTTCTTGCCAGCCTTGCCCGTCTTCTTGGGCAAAAGGTCTAAAAGAAAATTGTCAGCCATATACAATCAACATTGAGCAAGGAGTAAGACACATAACATACTCTGGTGAATGTTGGGCAAGACACCGCCCTGCGCGATAGTAACGTGGCCCAGAAGCTTGTTCAACTCCTCATCGTTCCGGATAGCAAGCTGAAGATGTCTGGGAATGATACGAGTCTTCTTGTTGTCACGAGCAGCGTTTCCTGCCAGCTCAAGAATCTCGGCAGCGAGGTACTCTAGGACAGCAGCCAGGTACACGGGAGCACCAGCACCGACGCGCTGAGCATAGTTTCCCTTCCGCAGAAGACGGTGAACACGACCAACAGGGAAGGCCAGACCGGCCTTAGAAGAACGACTGAAGATCCGGTTAGGAATCATGTAACTAATGACAGGTTCACAAAGGAGACAAATAGTGAACGGCCAAAAAGCGTAGAAAGGATGACTTACGTTTGCGAGTTCTTGGAACCGCTGGCCTTGCCGCCGGACTTGCCGCCTCCAGTCATTTTGATGCTGAAATTGTCGGTACTGGGAGAAGTTGAGTAAAAAGAATTGTAGAGTGCGAAGCAAAGCGATGCTGTTTGTTGAATGATGAAGCAACTGTAGCTGAATGTAAAGAAAATTCGAATACAGATGGCGGCAGTTTAATGGTGGTGGGGGAAGGACGGTTTTTAAGTAGTTTTCTTGTAGGAAGGCGCGCGAACACGGATCAGCTTTCGAGGATTTGGCACTAGTCCAAAAAAGGATACAGACTCTAAAACGTCAACAAACACAATAAAAAGTAGTAGTGGGTGGAAAATGCAAAACAGACCTGGACGCACCCAGCTGGTGATTATGGAAAGCAACCCTATTCCTATTATGTTGCGCAAAATCTAACGGTGTATACCGGATGGGCCGTGGCAGTTGCGAAGATGCAACTTTCTTTGCTGCTTTGGTTCCCTGGCCCATGAAAGGTTCACGTCGATCGAGGACCATCCCGGGGTTATTTTGTTGTGCCTTGGTAGGCCATGCGTGTATTATCGGCTGAGGGTCAACGTCATGTATCGTGTATTTGCGTTGCGATTTTGTTGGCCGGCTCTACTTTGGCGCCACAGCTTGTAACATAATGTTGCCTGTTTGAATTCTGGATGTGAATGATAGGGGGTCACCTCGTATTTTCAACAGTCAATCGCAGCTAACCGACACGGTAGGTACCCTTGGTAGCGAAAGTCCATAACGGTGGTTGTCTCGAGCTGGTTTGTTTACAATCATAAGAACACACTTAGAACACTGTATTGAGATTTGTTGGAAGACCTACTCCTGCGACACCTACTCGAAGTCACGGCACAATTATACTTACGTGAGTCTGCCCTTGTTCAAGACATCTGGCATGGCGACATTTTCGTACGGAACCTTGTGCTCTCTGCTCAAAGTCGTGGTACGCGACAGTCACGCGTCCTGCTACCTCGATTCTTGCCCTGTAATAGTTTCTCTTCTTGAAATTGGCACGTCCTATTGGCTGGATCTAGCTGTGATGAAAACAGTTGGCTTTGTCCTGGTTAGTGGCTCCTGTTTCTTTTTGTGGCCAATTAGAGTCACTGTCTTGGTGGGTCTTTCACAACATTCCTAAGGACAGCACTTTTCCCTACCTTTGCTGTCCCACAGTTCGACGCGCCCGCCAACCCCAAAACAGCCCAACACAGACCGACCTAGTTAATGGCTGCTGCGCGAAATCAGCAGACCTCCGCGTATGGCAATCAGCAACAACAGCACCGCCGTCACATCCAGATACAAAAAGGCTGGTGCCCCCCAAATTTCTGAAAGTGTCTTTTCCCTATCAAATATTTTCCCAACATCGACTCTCTGCGACATCCAGTTTTATCAGCCATCATCACCTCATTTTCATATTTCGGACTCCACCATTTTCAACAACCACCGCTACGTACTTCAAAATGCCTCCCAAGGCCGCTGACAAGAAGCCCGCCTCCAAGGCACCTGCCACTGCCTCCAAGGCACCGGAGAAGAAGGATGCTGGCAAGAAGACCGCCGCTTCTGGTGACAAGAAGAAGCGGACCAAGGCCCGCAAGGAGACATATTCTTCCTATATCTACAGAGGTTTGTTTCATTTCATGCGGCACATTGCACTCGAAGCCGGCTCTTTCGACGTGCGACTTGTTTCAGACGTGCTAATAAAGAACAGTCCTCAAGCAGGTGCACCCAGACACCGGTATTTCAAACCGTGCGATGTCGATTTTGAACTCTTTCGTCAACGACATTTTCGAGCGCGTCGCCACGGAGGCCTCGAAGCTGGCGGCTTACAACAAGAAGTCGACCATCTCCTCCCGAGAGATCCAGACCTCGTAAGTCTTAACCAAAGAGTACGTGTGTGTGTGTGTGTGTGTGTGTAGGACTATTTATTGACATGACAGTGTTCGCCTGATCTTGCCTGGTGAGCTTGCGAAGCACGCCGTGTCGGAAGGCACGAAGGCTGTCACCAAGTACTCCACGTCTACGAAATAAGCGCTTGGTTTCTGTCTTTGTCTTTTGTTTTCTCGGATTTCATTTTGCGTCGACGATGTGGGTTTATTTGGCACTTGGGTGTCATGACAAGACTAACCGAGGCGACCATTTTCGGAGTCCTTTAATGTGTTATGGAAGGGTTCTGTGCTTTTGTTTTGTTTTTATCTTAAAGGGGGCAATGCTTCCACGGATTATGGGGTTTGCGGCTGTACATTTACCTACAATATTAGGATTTCGGAATGGGTTCGTTTGTGCGACGACAACAATGGAAATCTTTCGATTAAATCAAAGTATTGTTCCGAACATGAAGAGTGCGCATATGTTTTGTATTCGTGCAGGATGCAGGTCTAAGTCTACCAAAAACGAAAGATTATATCGAATTTATCCGAGGCCAGCTTTGGATCGTTTCACGACGTGCTCAATAATTTGAGTCACGCCCTTATTGTCTACCGCCCCAAGTGCCATGCCTGTGCTCCAGCCCATTTTTTCGAGCATTGTGCGCCCTTTATTGGCGATGCTGATTTCTGGGGCAGATCCGCCTACCACTTCTCCATTTCGAACAGTTGCGGCGGCCGTATTTCCTCCTTTGCGTGCCATGGTCTTCCTTTCTAATTCTGTGGCTCTACTAACAAATCTGGTAAAAAAGCGGCGCCTGTATTTTTCAAAGACACTTTGAAAAAAATCGTCGTCAAAACGTACGGTGGACTTTGTACGAACGAGTGAAGGGCGACGCTGGTCGCCTGAGCCGGTGGATTTGGAGGTTATGTTGAAGCGATAGGCTATCTCGTGAATAATCTTGCGTGCGTGTGCATCCATAGGAGCCAATGTTATACTGGCCATCATATGTTAGTCATGAACAATTGTGAGCTGAGAATGCTACATACACGTACTTGTGCTCAGACCCGAGTAAGAAGTACCGAAATTCAGTCTTTATGTCGTCGAGGTTCATGCCATTTGGATACTTGACACGGGGGTCATTCGGGTTTGAAAATTTTCCCAGGAGGCCTTGAGCCCTCAGCTCCTCTCGAGCTATTTTTCGATCCCTTTTCCGTTGCCGGTCTTTTTGCCATGATGCTTGCAGGCTATTTTTCAATTCCAAGTCAGATAATTCTACCTCCAATCTGTCACGATTGCCAGCCCAACCAGTAACCTCGAGCTGTTCAAACGCATCCGCGACAGCTTCGGCACTGGGATAAGATCCATGAGATGCTGGAAACCTTTTCGTGAGATCGTACTTCGCCAGGGCTGGCGGGTTTAAAATAGGTGATCCTTTTGGGAGCTTGGGTCGCTTGCTGACTCGTCGATATTTCGTCGACGAGCCAACAGCGGCTGGGGTAGCGTCTAGGAGAATCGAGTCCTCTTCACCTAGGCCCATTCCCTCTTGCTTCGCTAACAGCCTGGAAAGTTGCTCATCGTCCGAGTCTGTTGTAAGCTGCCACGCATCATCAGAGGCACTATTATCGGCGTTGTTGTTGGTGTTATCTCGTGCGCCTCCCCGTTTCGGGGTTCGCCGGCTGTACTTTCCGACATCATCTTGCGCTACTCCACTCGAAGTAATACCGCCGCCACTGTCGTTGTCATTGCCGTTACCGCTATTGTCCCCGCCGTTGCCGTTGCTCGCAATATCAACGACGATGTCGTTGTCATACCCTCCTAGTTCTCGGTGATTTGCTGTGAGTTGCCGGACCATGTCCGCCATGTCCTCGGTAGACATATTTTGAATATAGTCGCTGACAGCAGCATCGGTACCGCATTCATCACCCGAACCAGAGATAAGCAGATCGAAGTCACCGGGTGGGGAGACGCTAGGATGGGTTGTTGGCAGCGTTGCTAAGGTACTATGCTCTGAGGCTGGTAGAGATTCGCGGAACTCTTTTTGAAAGTTCGGCTGGATACCATTTTGGGAACCTCTTCCCTTGAAAAGGATTACTTCATCGCTAGAGTCTGAACTACAATCTTCTTCGGTTTGCAATGTCGTCGACGGGGCCCCGAAAGTGTCTCCTTCTCGCAACATCTGGGGAGAACACGTGGCTTGCGCTGAAATTTCGCAGACTTTACCGGAGGGTTTTATCTCGTCCGGAAGGATTGCGTTGGTTGGCGCTTTGGACATGGTTGGGTCGCCAGGTACATCTATTTCGGTTAATGGTTCGACGAATCCACCGCTGATGAATGTGACAGGTCGACCCCGTAGGCTCGCGTTCTCGTCCCAATGAGATATCTTGTTTCTTGTATTCAAGGCTAATTGTTGCATAGAAGTGCCTATTGATATTTGTTATTGCTTCTGAAACTGCCATACGACTGTGAATGGGAGTCAACTTACCTGAAGGTGACGGGTCGCCGAACGTAGAGACGGCGTCCCATTTTCGGGTTGGCTGCTGCTCACCTCGGTCGTGGCTGGAAGGTTTTTTCGAAAAAGCGCTACCAGTGCCAGCAGTCGCACCGGCAGCGCGGAAATGAGGTTCTTTCTTTCCAAGTGCGCCCCTTTTATGTCTTGTCATCGTCGATAATTTGAACTTAACAGAGCGCCGGGTTCCTTCTTTTTGTCGTATTCAAGTATCGATGTTTGTCGTCCGTACGGGGATAATGGCATATACACACACGGAGAATTGTTACAACGGCCATATATTTCGACAGATAATCTTCTACGATTACACTAGCGAGAACTGACTACAGAATACGAATTACATAAATAGCGGGGATTAACTTTCGTACCATACAGTACGTATTTTGGCTTGGCGTTTTTGCACGGTGTGGCGGATATTTTTAGGCGTCAGAGCAACGAGTCACACGTCATTATTTCTCAGTCTGTGTGTGGACAGGCTCTGATCATCTGCCTGGCTCCGTTTCAACCAAAGCTTGACTTTTAACGCGACGAAATGACAACAAACTTGATTTGCCTATTTCTGCTACGCTTGATCATTTTGACTTACGGACGACGTTCTGTAGCCACTTTCCTCCATCCCCTTCCTCTCCAACATCTCATCCAACACCTTACTATCCGACTACCAACAGTAGTGTTTATACTGGATAAGATCTGACGATCCCACGTCTTCCATGGTATGACTTGAAGCCGGATTAGCTAACTTTAAATTGTTCCTGCTTCGGCGTCTCCTTCTTTCTTTGCTTATTTCTTTCTTCCTTGGAAAGCATGGATGTCGCCGTCGCCGCAGGAGCAGATCTAGGCCGCTATGGCCGCCGCATCATGAAATTGCTGTGGGACCCGGAGCCGACGAATGATATTATAGCGAACCAGCCAGTTTGGTGCCTTGGGCGCTCCTACTCACTGGAAACAAATAGAGGCGGCGATAAAGGTTCTTTCCAGATCGATGGGCCATCTAAGCCACTGACGACTAAATCTGCAAACACGGAACCAGTAGCATCTCAACTACTCATCTCGAACTCGGATACCTCTATCGATTGCGCCTTGGACAGGTCTGGTTCATCGCTAGCGTATGAAAAGGAGGGGCCGGAACTTGGAGGCTGGCCAGCCGCGTTCCTAGAAGACTTTGAATCGCGATTTTGGATGACATATCGCTCTGGTTTTGAGAATATCCCACTTTCAACCGATCCAAAATCTACGGCAGCCTGGTCGTTCACTATCCGGTTAAAAAGTCTCGGTGACCAAAGCGGATTCTCTTCGGACAGTGGGTGGGGTTGCATGATCCGATCGGGCCAGAGCCTACTAGCGAACTCTCTGTCCATGTGGAAGCTGGGACGGGGTGAGTTGTTCAAGTGATTCCACGAAGTTTTCCGTATGTCAGCCCATTCCACCGTTTTCCTCAAACTAACATATATCATTAGACTGGCGGTCGAGTGACGGGGGCCCCGGAGAGCGCGAAATCATCTCCATGTTTGCAGATGACCCTCGAGCTCCCTTTTCTATTCACAGATTCGTGGACCACGGCGCTTCTGCGTGTGGCAAGTACCCCGGGGAATGGTTTGGTCCGTCTGCTACAGCGCGGTGCATCCAGTACGCAATCCGCGTCTTCCTCGTCCCCTTTGTGCACTCGATGATCTCGTTTGTATGCTGATTTTCACGTGCCGCTCAGGGCATTAGCAAATTCGTACCCTGGATCCCTCCGGGTATACACAACCGGCGACTTCCCCGATGTCTACGAAGATGGCTTCTTGAAGGTTGCAAGGACTGGACCTGGCGGTGCCTTCCATCCGACTTTGATCCTGGTGGGCACAAGATTAGGGGTGGATAAAACGAACACGGTTTATTGGGAGGCACTTACATCTGCCTTGCAGATGCCACAGTCTGTGGGAATTGCAGGGTGAGTACAGAACACCCAGCTCAAGATGTCAGATGGTTTTGATCAAGCTAACGTTTCTTATAATAGGGGCCGTCCCTCTTCTTCGCACTATTTTGTCGGTTCTCAGAGGTCGACTGATGACCAGGGATCATATTTATTTTACCTTGACCCCCATCATACACGAGATGCCCTTGCATACCATGCGGATCCGACGGAGTACACTCAAGAAGAGCTGAGCTCCTGTCATACAAAACGACTTCGGCGACTACACATCCGCGAGATGGATCCCAGCATGCTGATTGGTTTCCTTATTAAGGACGAGGATGACTGGGACAGTTGGAAAAGCTCAATCAAGCATGTGCAAGGAAGAGCCATTGTTACCGTGTCTAACTATGATTCAAGTGGCGATCTAGCATTCGGCAGGGAAGGCGCAATCGAAGAAGTTGAAACACTCAGCGACGATGATATGGATACTGCGTTGGCGTTATAGGATATATTTTGAGCGCCACTGGGATTGTCTTACTTTGGTATTTGCTTTGGCTTCGGCCATAGGATATTGGTGTATTTTGGGAGTTGTGGGTTAATTTCGACAAGTTTGTCTATCACTCATCCGAATTGGGGCCTATGGTATGTTCTCTGCTACTGTTTGAAAAGTTCGACAGGATGAACGCTTGACATCAATATAATGTTTGCGCGCGAAGATTGTTTGCGAACTTCGATGGCAAAGCCTGTACTTGTTGTAGAGGTGGTTTTGGTTGGTAAATCTGGTCCAAAACGGTACAAAATCATCGCGTACGTATACATATACTACCTAATTATGTAAGTGACATCTTACCCTTGAGCGAAGGTCATCCATCTCATTCTTCGTAAATTTTAACCTTGGCGGCATACTGTCGTATCCTACTCACAACTCGCTCCTTAATAGTGTCGCCGTGCCCGGCCGCGACTTTCAAAATCAGTTCATTGAGCATTTGTCTGCCTAAAATGTCGACGTGGTCGGCCGTGTTAGGTCCCCCTCGGGGATTAAACCTTTCTGGCTCGTGTGGCATCTCGACAACCGTGATTTTGGCACCTGCTGGGTTATATCGTTGGAGCTTCCAGCCCTGGTTGCACATATACCCCGTGCTCAAAAGGTTAACAGTACCATCACCTTCACCCATGACAACACCATGATCAATCATTTCTCCTTGCGTCAAGGTGGTATCAATGGTGATGCTTAGCTTGGTTGTAGGGAGAGGATCTGGTGAGCGATAGTAGTATGAGCGTTCAGTAGGCTTTCCAACGCCGTAGAAACAGTAAATTTTGAGGCTTGGCGCACGTGGAAGCCGCGTTTCCAATGGGTTGATCCATTTCCGCGGATCTCTTTCATTCTTTTCGACCTCTTCAGAAGTTTGGGCAACCCCATGGGAGTAACTAGACCGAATTTTCTCTCGGTACCAGTCCTGTGAGGTGTTGAAGAGGTAGTCTAAGGCGCCATTGACAGTCAAATTGTGTAACGGAACGGTCCAGTTATCGCTCCCTCGAAAATTTAGCAGCGCTGCAAAGCTCTGTTCTTGGCCGGGCAGGTCGTCCGGAGCACCATCTCCGATGCTACCCCATACGGCATCACCGCCCATCGGAAGCATCGAAGAAATGCCAGGCATAGCACGGAAGATGTCAGCTCGCTCCTCCTTGCTAAGAAATTTTTCCAGGCCATAGACCGCAAAGGAATTTAGCTGGGCAGTGTCACGCATCTCCCCGGACAGCACTGCAGTCAGGTCCTTCACAGCACCCAACATGCAACCGCTCACGTTGATCCAAGAGTCCACATACTTTTCAACCCAGTCGTCACCACCTCGGCCCCCAAGACGCGATTCAACCCAGTGGAAAAAGTAGAAGAGAACTTGGCTACCCATGCTGTGAGACACGAGAACCACCTTTCGATCTGACGTGGCGGCAGCCATTTCGATGTGCATCTTTAGTCGTGTGAAGTACTGGTCTCTCACTTCGAGATTTGCGTATGAGAGTCGCCAGTCGTAAGCTGCTGTGAACGAGTTTGTTGGGTCGTAACCCAGAGACGCAAGGTTCTCAAAAATCTTGTTCCAAATCCAGTATCCCGTAATGAAGAAGTCCGTGGCATCAAAGCCCTGTGCCGCACGCATTCTGTAGCCTGCCGGATCCAGACCAGTTTTTTTGTCGAGCATAATGTGCCTCTTCCAGTTCTCTTTGTCCAGTACAAGAGCGCGCATCATGCTCCAACTGCCCCAGAGCCTTTTTCTGAAATACTGCCGAGAGTCATTGGCTGTCCCCCAGGATTCTAAGCCGGTGGAGATAACACCAGGTATCATGATGACCGAGTGGTTGACACCTAGGCCTTCTGCTTTGACCTTTAAGCCTACGGAAAATGCATCCGAACTATCAAGAAAGTCGCGCTCGCCATTCTAGAGCGTTGCGTTCAAGAAAAAAAATTAGCGAGTTGCCATGGATATTTCCGAGAAGAAAAATTATAGGGCAAAGCGGAAACCTTGTGGCAGGGCTGGGAGGCCACTACTAATGACCTGCTAACAACTTACCACCAAGTCCCGCATGTCCGTCACCAGGCCTGCAGGAAGGACGTCAAAGAGGCTGTCCATCGTAAGCTCCCCGATTTCAGGAAAGTCGATAAGGTCGTTGCTTTTGGCAAAGAATCCAGCGGCAATAAGTCCGAATAGACTTCCAAGAAGGAATACAAGCGTATGACGTCGTTTCTTCCCAGTTCCGGACCTGTGAGACGCAGGGTGTGTGCGTGCTTTGTCCGACATATCGGGTGACCATCCATGCTCATTTATATCAGACGAGGTACCAGCCGAAAAAGTCGTGTCGTGGTTAACTTCATCCCTGTTTGCCTGGTTCGACTGCGCAGGCTGGCGGCCCCTTTTCCGAATGGCATTGGCCATGGCTCGGGGCACAGTTATAGGGGACAATCTTCCGAGTGTGTGATTTAGGAAGCGCAATAGCGTGCCTCGCCGTGCAAATGGGAAACGCGAGGTATCAGAAGAAGTCTCGAGTGAAGAGCCGAATTGCGAATGGGCGTCGCAGCTCCGAGCAGGAAGGCCTTGCAAGAACGTCGAATGTGCTGGATTATACGCGAACTATGCCATTGGTGTATGCCAGAATACCGGCCCTTTCGAGGTGAGTGGACAAATCGGCAAGGGTTACCGGGAGGGAGGCGGGTTGTTAAAAATATTACTCCATTTCTGTTTTCATTATGTGCTTGGTGATTCGGAGGTTGGCTCGTTGGTCCAGCAGCCGCGCGGAAGCAAGCTATGACGAAGGCTGCACTGAACGAGTTATTAGTCTAGTGGGGCAGGCAACAACGGCCGGGGTTGGGTGTGTAAACAAAAAAATAATCTATCAGTGCGCGTTGGTATTACGACGTAATACCGTCTGTAATGCCCCACCAGTTCCGAAGTGTTTTTCCACAAGCACGTGAATATACACCAGGCATGCCGTACATTTTATGTATCTCAAGGTGAAGGAACCAAGCAACCATTTACATTATCAACACAACAAAGCTCAAGGAATTGAAGTGAGGAGTCTCTTTCTGTTGGAATAGCGAGGTCGGCCAGTTCTGGTGAAACCCATTCGGCGTCAACCACTCAGCACCGACAGCATTTTTGATGGGGTCCCTCTTGTATCTTTGAGCACCCGCCAGCCCCATGCACATGCTCTTGATCATAGATGGCAATCTTATCTATAGCCTCAGGCATGGCAGCATCGGCACTCCAATACATCCGCTACGAACACAGCCTCGAGGAGCAGTATCTCCCCTCTATCCGGGCTCTTATATCGAGAGACCTTAGTGAGCCGTACAGTATCTATGTTTACCGCTACTTTTTACGCCAATGGAGCCACCTGTGTTTTATGGTAGTGCAAAGCCCCCTTCCCGTTCCAAAGTTGTGCCGAAAGCTGTCATCGTCACTAACTGTCCGCGCCACTGATGCAGGCCCTGAACCCGGCCGATTCTTCTCTCGTCGGTGTCGTCATCTGCAAACTGGAACCGCATGACTCAAATGGCCCATCAACATGCCGGGGCTACATCGCGATGTTGGCCGTTTCTGCAGCCAGTAGAGGCTATGGCGTGGCGACATCTCTTGTTAGACGGGCCATTGACGCTATGGCGGAACATAATGCGGATGAGGTGGTGTTAGAAACCGAAGAGTCAAATGCCTCTGCCATCCGCTTATACGAGAGGCTCGGCTTTTTCCGCTCGAAAAAACTCCATCGATACTATCTCAATGGAAACAGCGCTTATCGCCTCGTGCTCCCTTTGGTTGCTGTCCATACCGATTCCGCCCTGGATCTAGCTCTGGAAAACGATGGCTGATGCAGTGCCAATTTATATCCTACCCGAGGTCCACGAAACCCGGTAACATCCACCATCAGGCATGGGCGAACTTTTCGGATGGCCTTTAGCTGTGCCGCTTTGTCCTGTATAGCCTCGTATCCCGATCTGTTTGGTGTCACTTCGTGGCTGTATGGGAGCTTTCTGGGAGCAACCATGCGGCCCAACAACAATGGCTTCCATAATAGAGTCATTGGGAAGTACCTTCCAACATAGGTATCCTGCACGTGCATGGCGCTTGTCGTTGCATATGGTGTTCATTTCCTTTGGAACTCCTGTATGTCGTTATTGGACAAAGTGGAATGGGTGGTCATGGGTCTTTGCGCCGAGTGCGCGCTGGGGAACTGTTTCATAGTTGCATCTATGGCAAATAATCCTCAAGGCTGACCGAATAAGAGTCGCTACTATTCAAATTTCCATGTAACGTTGTTTGACTTCCCACAGGCAGAGAAGTTTATCGTAGAAGCTAGTGGAGACACACAGCAGTGACTGACGTTGTTGGAAGTCGCTACCGTAATTCATGCTCTTGTGTTCCTTAAATCGGGCCCGGACAATGACTTGGCATTTGCCAGGCGCATGACCGGTAATGTCAATCACAAGTGCACCTGCGTACATGCATGACGCTAGCACGCGCAATCCCCAGCATCCAGTTCCATCATTTGTTGTGTGGGAAACCAGTTTCAATCTCCAGACACCCCCACCTAGGCATTGCTCAGCGAGGCATGACACGCGACGAATTCCGCCAGTGGTTGCAGGGTCGAGGATCGAGTACACCCGTATGTGGTCGTCGTAACTTCCCGTCACCACGACGCGGCCACCGTCGGAACTCATAATGGGCGTAGGTAAAATTGCCGTCACGCCGGCGTTGTGCCCCATGAGCTTGCATATACCGGTGGGAAAGCCGGGTGAGACCTCACTGCCGTTTACTGGTTGTGGGCTTACAACGCATGTGTATTTCAGTAGGGAATCGTCGCTCCCTGAGTAAAGGGTGCTAATAAAACCACCATGCCCATTATTTGTTTCGTTATTGCTGCCATCCAGCGCTTGGAGGGGTACGAATACAGGCGGGGAGAACGCAACCGCCCAAGTTTCCAGGTCGTGTGTTATGGCGGGAATTTTGGAGACAACAGTTGATTGCTTGGTCGTGTTGGTGGCTATGATGTAAACCTCCCCGGATGATGTCGAGACGGCAATAATATTGGGTGTCGAGGGGTGCCAGGCGCATGCCAGGAATAAGGTGTCCTCTCCGACGCCATCAACTCTGGCTACACTGATAAGTTCCACGGTGCGTCCGCCAGGCGCCGAGGGCGTCAGTCGAAATATTGACAGGGACGCTGTGCTGGAAACCACGGCGAACACGTCTTGTTTGCCTTTCAGTTGTTGGAAATGGAGGTCTAGGATTGCCGATGGCTGTGCAACTGTTTCTATGCGGTGGCTGTTTGACGTTCGTCGTTCCGGCAGTTGCTCTTGTGGTTAGGTCCGTTGGAGCAAAATATGTTCTGAGGCACCCGTCCGCGGCCAGGACGCGTGTGCATAGGTGCCGCGGGGGGGGGGGGGGGGGTTATCCTTACATGGTCGTGTCTTCCAATCTAAATACCACGATGCTGCCATGGCGGTTCTGAGGCCGGGATACGTCGCCCTGCGCCCGTGCCTCGTCCTGTACAAGGTTATACGTGCCAACGCAGAAGTAGTCCGGATACCCTGGGCAGAATTCTATGCAGCTCGGGGGGAGGTCTAGCGTGTGAGACTCGATAGAGATCGAGGATTCCGTCATGTTTGCTGTTCACTTTGTCTGCCCTGCTTTTGTTCAGTTCCACCGGGTGTGGTAATTGGGCGACTTGGCTTGGCGGCTTTTATTTTTGGCGTAGGTAATTACAACATATTGTGGGTGTGTATTGGTTAGGCTGGTAACGTTCTTTAGTACGAAGAATCTCTCTAATCGTACTGTAAATTTCCCTATCTACACCGTAATTATTTGGTGAGTTTACGTAAGATTTCCAACCAACCAACCTTTAAGATAGAACTGACTACAGAATACGAATTACATAAATAGCGGGGATCGTACACATGTGCAAATAAAACTTCTGACGTAATCGTTTTAGTGCCTCTTTTCATATTTTTTCAAAAACGTTGCATCTGGCGATGTTGGTTATGAAACCGATTATGTTAAATGTTTTATTTGCACACATGTGCGGCGGCCAATTAGAAGCCATAGTTCATAACATGTAAGACTTTTTTCTTTATACACATACGTGCACCTATTGGGAGCCCTTTGAGATATCTTTCCTGACGAGACCGATACTAGGTTATAAAATCACGCTTTATATATATATTATATATATTATAATACTATAATCATGAAATGTTTTCTTTGTAGTTACAAGATTCGTTACATAGGCATGGTACGGATTGATATTAGACTAACAAAAGTGCGGTAGGATGTAGTTCCTCATGCATATTTATTGAACAGGTTTTTTTTGGTTTTTTTTCGTTTTTTTTTTTTTCAGTTTTTTTCAGTTTTTTTGCCCTTCTCGCGGGAGCCATGTGAAGGTTACGATCTGAATAGGGTGACCGCTCTTATTTATGTCCTGTCATCACCGGCTCTTGCTGATTTCAGTGCTTTATTCTCGTCACCTAGTCGCCTTCGTGTTAGGTGGTTGGCAGTCGGAGATGCCAACCAAACTGTGCTTGCAGTTCAAGGGAAGCGGGAATTGATAACTCTTATTTCATCGCCGTGGTGGGAGGGAGGTGGAAACAAAAGATAAAACAAGTGAATAAAATTAAAGGGACACGAAAAAAAAAAGCAAAGAAAGAAAGAAAATAAAATAAAAAGAATGTCCCATAAGAGAGTGTAATAGTTTCATGAATATTTCAAGTAAGAAAAAGCGCTAAAATGTTCGCGTGGGTAATTACGACGTACAAGCGACACCCACCAGGAAAAAACAGGCACCATCAAAACCAGCACATAAACCAACACAGCACGTCCCCCCAATACTACCCGCTAACACACTGCCGCGGTAGAGCCATACACACAGCGTGCTCATCCATCATCCAGCGTACTGCGACTAACCGATTCCACGGAGACCGGTAAATACCCAGTCGTGAAACTAAAGTGTTAGCCACGAGCATGGGCGGCCCCAGGAAGTCCGACTCCGGGTCTGATTCCGACCCCAACGGTAAACCCACAGATGTACTGTCAAAGTCACCAGGGAGATACAGCTCAGTTTTCCAGGAGTACTGACACCCAACTAAAGGAAAGCAGAAGACTGATCACGAGACCCAAGCAGAGAGCTCGGCTGCCTCGCGCAAGATAACCGCAAGACGAAAGAAGACGCATCCACACCACCCGCCAGCTGTGATGCAAAACATACAATCCCAGCAGCAACTCAACAATCCATTTACAGGCGTCCCGTACGCATGGCAGATCGACGAGAGCGTAGACGAGTTTATGGGCCGCCTGCCGTCCACCCGGATTGAAGCGACTGGGCATATACATTGTATTTACATACGCAACCCGCATGCCGGGTGAAAGGAAAAATTAGAGTGCGAAATTCGACTCATTCCCGGATGCGGCGATGAAGGACCGGAGGCGGAAACCGGCGTGCACATAGCGTTATTCGCAGTGGGGCCCAAAGAGAGACTGGGTATTCTCACTGCTTTCTTAGACGACCCAAAGAAGATGACCCTGCCCCAGGCAGCCACGCCATGAGATGCCCAATCTGCGAGACAGTCCACAGCCAGGGATATACTGGAACTCGCCGGAAACCTTGGTGTGACATGTGAGAAGGTGAGGGAACCCAAACAATCAACGGCCATCGGCAGCCGGGATACTGACGCATATCCAGTGGATGCTCTTCGTCGACACAGACAAGGTGGAGGGCGCGTGGAAGGCCGTGGCCTTAGCAACATACCAGGGCAAGCTTGGTATAGCTGCCAATATTGTTACCCGGCGCCCGGCAGCTGAAGGTTAGGGTAGTTCACTGTATGGCCGTCTAATATATATCTACACATCGGATTTTCGGGAACCAGTTGATACGAGCCGCGTCCTACTCCAACTCGAAACGTTAGGACTTGTTAAACGACACGGGGGACCAACTACACACTACACGTGTGGTGAATATCAGCCCCCAACGTCGCCCAAGAGGCAATGGCTTGATAGTTGGCTACTGACTATGGACACAATATCTGGCCGGGAAGACGCGTATATCTATCTGGGTATTGGTGCGACCAATCCTCGGGGGCTGCGAGCATCGCTTTTTTAGCTCGGGGGATATCTTTGTTCGTCTGGACCATGCAAAGAACACCCAGTAGCACGACGTATTTTATGCTCACAGTGACCTACACTGACAGCTATATAAACTTACTCCGTACAAGACGTAATTAAGTCGTGTAAAGTTTGGATGCTTATCCTGTCAGAGTACTGAGTCGGGGTAAGAGAGTCTGACCTGCTTAGATTAGATAAGCGGGCCTGTCAGGTGAGACTTCTGATTAGAAGCCTATACGCCCGTAGGGAAAAGGGGAGAAAGGGAGTACGGCAGAATAGATAGAACAAAAGGTAAGGCGCAGTCAAACAAGAAAAGAAGAGGTAGGTTGACCAGACCTTCGGTCAGAAGTCCGGTCGACAGCCGCTGAGTTCTCTGCCGACTGTCAGGCCATCCTGCAAAATGGCTGAGGATATGCTCAACTGACACGCTTCGCCATCCTTCTGGGGCTCGGAGTGACGGAGCGGAATAGAGGAACTGGGTCCGCTAGGGTAGGAGAGGCGGAGCAGAGCATTACGCTGTGTGCCCAGTGAGCATAATGCCATAAACCAACAGATCGGGCAACCGAAGCTCGACGGTTTTAACATATGTTTCGATCGAGGCACCCTATTTACACTATAGGGTTGATCCTATCTATCCGACACATAGCTCCATTAAATAATGGGGTTAATCACCGCCTTCAGCTGCAACAACTGGCACCCATGTTTATTTATGGACAGGGTCCGTGGAGTTTGTAAACCAGCGGATGTTGTTGCTGCACTCTCTTTAAGCTTGGCGTTAATGTCGTCTAGTGTGACCTTGTAGGCGGAGTCACTTCTCGGCTTTTAAGGCGAGAGGTAAAGATACGACCGTGTTGACTCTTGAATTTATCTAAATGCATTAGTAGTGTAAGATGCGTTGTTCTCACTGACTTCTACCGTCCTGCGTTTAGTGTTGGTCTGCCCCACACCGCAGGTATTTTACAGTGTGCTGGCCCACATAACAAGGGAAAACTCGCCTTGTATGTTTTCTCTGTTTGTGTTTGCTCCATAATTAAAGTCGTAATTCCGATTTATTTCGCATAGGAGCCCACCCCCTTTCGCCGAAAACACGAACAAACAAAGCTCGACACTCTTCTTCTCAACCGCTCGCCAACAACACGGACTTGTGGTGAATATGACCAACGTCAGTGTTCGCGCCACTACTTACACGATACCCACTGTGAAACCTTGCTTTCCAACAAACGCTTCGGACAGGCCAAAGCTGGCCTATTGCTAACTGCACACGAACGACCACCCCCTCGCTCACATTTTCTGCACCGTCCTCACTCGTAGGCTGCGGCGTTTCCTTCGGTGCCTGAGTCGCCCGCTGTATCACGGCTCTTTCAAACGACACCGCAATTTCCGACAATGGCTTCCCAAAAACCACGTGGTCGTACTGGCCGCTCTGCTTGCCCCGAGAGAGAATACCCGCTCATGTCTCGCGCGGAGATCGAGAGAATGATTGCACAGGGCCGAAGCCTTATTATAGTCAACCAGCATGTTCTGAGAGTGGATGCTTGGCTGCCGTACCACCCGGGTGGATCGAAGTCCATCATGCATATGGTCGGAAGGGATGCGACAGATGAAGTGAACTGGTTTGTTTCCTGTCAAATCACTAACGTCTTTTTGTCAAATATACTTCTGCTTTTAACAGGTACTTGCTAACCAGTTTATGTCGGGACAGTCTCCACTCCGAAGAAGCTCGCCAGAATATGGATAGATACAGGATTGGGAGAATAGAAGGCGTCTGGGAGAATTTTACACCACCTATACAAGGTGGCAGTTTCCAGGAACACGTCGGGATGGCAGCCACGACAGCTTCGATCGCTTCGACAGCATCCACAGTATTGACGGCCAGATGTTCCAGCAGTGGACCAAGCTCTCGGTCCACATCCCCACTTCCCATGTTTGACGACGAGGCCAACGGTGCTCCTTCGGACGACTGCGCGTACCCATACAAAGAAATACGAAGACGGGCTGGGCACCTGTCATTATCGCCCTCTACTGCGACGCCATCGTCTGCTTCACAGATTGAGGACTGCAACGACACTACAGGAGAAGTGAAAAAAAGCACGTGTAGGACGGCAACTGCATTTTTGGATGCGAAGACGAGGGATGAAATCCAGCTTGATCTCGAGAAATACCCGTCCCTTGACATGCGGACTCAGCAAAACGTGGTACTCAAATATCGTGAACTACACGACAAACTACGCGCAGCAGGTCTTTTTGACTGCAACTATACAGCGTATGCATGGGAAGTTCTACGTTACGTCACCCTTTTTGTATTGATGCTTGCGTTTTTGCGTTTCCGGTGGTATGCGACCAGCGCGGCCTGCCTGGGGGCTTTTTGGCACCAGCTGGTGTTCACAGCCCACGATGCTGGCCATATGGGGATCACGCACAATTTCCATGGAGACACGGTGATAGGCATTATCATTGCCGATTTCCTCGGCGGCCTCTCAATCTGCTGGTGGAAAGACAACCACAACGTGCACCACATTGTGACCAATTCGCCCGAACATGACCCCGACATTGAGCATATGCCTTTTTTGGCAGTGTCGCATCGATTGTTGCAGTCCCTGCGATCGACATATTATGACAAAGTCATGGAGTACGACACGGCTGCTCGATTTTTCCTGTCGATCCAAGCGTATTCCTATTATTTGATACTGTGCTTTGGTCGCTTCAACCTCTATCGTCTGTCTTGGCAGTACATTATACTCGGTCTTGGGCCGCAAAAGGGCCCGGCATGGTGGCATAGGTGGCTGGAAGCTGCCGGGCAGGTCTTCTTCTGGGCTTGGTTTGGGTATGGTATTGTGTACAAGAGCATCGATTCCAATTGGGGCCGCTTCGTTTTTGTCATGGTCAGTCACATGATGACGATGCCTCTGCATCTACAGATAACCCTGTCACACTTTGCTATGAGTACAGCAGACCTCGGTCCGCACGAGTCGTTTCCGCAGCGAATGCTACGAACGACAATGGACGTCGACTGCCCTCAGTGGCTCGATTTTTTTCACGGCGGGCTACAATTTCAGGCCATTCACCACCTGTACCCGCGCATGCCTCGGCACAACTTAAGGACGGCACAAAAAATGGTGCTAGACTTTTGTAACGAGGTCGGAATCCCTTACGCGCTATACGGGTTTATTGACGGCAACAAGGAGGTGATTGGGCGATTGGCGGACGTGTCAAAACAGGCTGCCATTCTAGCACAATGCCAGAAAGCGATTGCTGCTGGCACGGCCTAGGTTTAACACGGTCGAAGCATGCTGCACACGGAGAGAGGAGCCGGGGTCTGGGACGATAAAACACGAAGAGCGGTGTCGGTAAATAGAGGGACATGGTCGTACTCGACAACGGCTGAGTTGGCCCGTGGGAATCTGCTGTTAGTAAGACTATGTTAGACGGATGAAGTAGGGTAGATACATAGACTATTGAACTGTCTGTAATGATATGTTTTGTAAGTAAATTTATACCTTAAAAGCAATACCCTCACTTTATACCTTATGTACGAAGTAAATAAAAAACAAACCCATGGCCTTTCTACTTCGATTCGTAGAGATGGAGCCACGTGACTGCCCTATGGTCTGTTGCTGAGAGCCCAGAAAAAAGGACCGCGAGGCTAATGACAGGCTAAGCAAAGAGACATCCCAGCTGGACATCTCTTGCGTCCCGCACCGCCTCCTAGTCCTTTGTGTGCTCGACGGAGAATAGAGGGGAGATGGCGTGTCATACCTGTCCTGGGCATCCGACCCTTATCGACAACCTGGCTCGACTTACTAGGCCACATCCTTGAGTGCAACCCTGCGAGGTGTCACAAGAAATTACATACTAACGTGGTCGCCGTACGGAATACTAAAGTTTTAAAACACTCCTCTGTCCACCCCCTCCCCCTCCCCACCCCAAAGTCTATGAAACGTTGTCTACGAAAGGATGCTCTGTATAAATTTATAGTACAAGTTGCATGTCTTGGAGAACTGTTGGTCCTTAGTAGCTCTGTCGGCGCATTTTTTTCTCACAACGACGTACTCCGTAATTAGTCGAACGCCGTCTTTAACCTAGCGGCTCTGTCGCGTTTTAATTCAGGGTTGCGCTGAGGCACCAGTCGGTTAGCAAAACGTTAATATTTACGGTAATCAAATACATGTCAATGTTTTCTTCCTGAGTATCGTGCACCGTTTACGACGTATGCTTTAAATGTTAGACGTGTCGCGGGTCGTCGAAGTGTACTACTTTACTCTGTATTACAATTATAATCTCTTGAAATACTAGTTTTAAGTACGAGCAGCATGTTCGTCTACTGAAAGACACATCGCCGGCGGAAAATATGGGATTTTGTTTCAGAAGTTATGGTAATTTTCTCACAAGTGGTGAGCTCTACTCCCACTAGTTATAGGTGGTCGTCTGATAAGCCACAGGTACTCTGTTGTACCCCGCAAACCCTTAAAAGCGCCGCGTGTCCTGCTACGGCAACCTATCAGGATGCATCAACACTTTACCATAGCCTGGACCAGAGACAGGGTTTAAAGGGTTGATACTCAGCTGCATCATATGCTGCGCTAGTTCGGGGTGGTTAGTGATAGTGGGGGCTCGGTCTGTGTTAATTGGTCCACGCAGCATTCTTGCCACCCCCTTGGTCACCATCTCCCATCGCCCGTGTGGCCTGGCCTGTGCCCCTCCTTTGGCGTGCTCGGCTCCCTTCCCTCGGGTCCAGGCTCGTGGCTCGCTAGAAATATTCCGTAGAGGAGAAGGTATAAGTTCTAAGACGTGCGGTATTACGTCGTATTACCATTCTGGATACCTTACCTCGGAGGGTGCCGTCAAGAACTTGTACAAGCGTGAAGGAACGGGCCCAACGAGGCGGTCAAGTGTACCAATCGACGATTACTAAGTAATATAACACAGTTAGTTTTACGAGGTAAAGTGTTATCTCCATGTTTCGTTATTTCCAGTCGTTCAGGGCAACTCTCCCCTGAAAATGTTTTCCACAAACTAGAAATGTTAGTACACACCACCAAATAACGTGTGAAGCACTAACAGGTTCAGTTTTTAGAAAAATTTTCAAGAAAACCACGAAGAAGAAGGCATTTTGACAGAGTTCGCCTTCTTCGTTACGTCGTCGCACGAGCGATTCTATCGCCGACGACTCTCTCCTTTTACGACAAGTAAAGAAGAAGTAATTACCTTTACTTTTTTTACTTTTAAGATTACGAACCCGTCGTCCGGTCCGATAACCCTTCCTTACGTCGGTATTACGACGTGTAACCTACGACGTTAAGATTAAAGACTTAAGAGAGAGATTATTCTAAAAAACTGGGTTAAAACGAGAGACCGACTTTTCCTCGAGGTTATATTACGGGACGAATAACGAAAGGTTTTCCTCCTTACTAAGAAGGTTTTTACTACGCCCGGAAGCCCGAGCCCGGTATCTCGAGGCCACGGTATAATAAACGCAGCACCTGGAGGCTGACGTTGTACACCGACAAGGTGCCTAAGGCACCATAGATAGTTAGATAGGCCTTAGCGCCCGCCCGTATACCCTTATAGGGTGGTACTTTTCAGTACACTGTGGCGGTTAAATAAACCAACCAACCAACCAACCAGTCGTTCAGGGCCCCCTCCCCGCCCCCTCCCTCTCTCTCTCTCTCACTCACTCCTCCTGAAGAACTCAGAGGTAGCTTGCCTTTGCACGCCCCTTGCTTCTTTGTTATTGGTATGCCTCGTCCGAAAACACACTCCGAAAGTCTCTCGGAGGACCCCATCCACAAAAAGGATGCGAAAAACAGCTCTTATCTTAGGGCCTATGGCGGAGCACCTCCCCTTCCGCTCGTCACACTCATCGACAGGGACCGTGGATTATCCGGCGTGCTTGAACAGGAAAGGACTGCGTCCAACCTGGTCATCTGCCTTTTTCTACGACATAGTTGTTTAACAGGTCGACATCCATTCCCAATCCTTCCACCCTGTCCTTGCTCTATTTTCTTCCTCTTCGACCTCGACCCACCACCCTGGTCTGCAGTGTGCATGTACATATACGACCTAATCTGGGATCGTCTTGCTCGTCGTAGTACATAAGACGCGTGGGACAAAATGGGACAATGCGTAAGGTGTTGGAGACCCAGCCGCTGGACACCCTTGAGCCAGACCAGGAAACGGACAGCTTTATACTTTGTAGAGCAGGGCCTGCTTGATCTGTAGTTTGCACAAAACAAACCCGTGGACACCATCGACATCGTGGGTAGCCCACGTACGTCGTGAGTTTGTAATCCGATGCCGTTCTCTTGCCGTAGATTGGCCACCGACCACAATAGGTGAAGGCTGTGTTTATATAAAGCCGCGGACGGCCCATGTAGAGTACCTCCTTCCGTGCACTGCATTAATCTGTCTTTATTCCTGCGTTTGTACAAGAATGAGACCGCTTGACTGTCAATCTGGCCTTATAGTTCCCCTGCTCCGCAAACACATATTTGTAGCCGGTCACTGACACCTGAGCAGTGCATAACGCGGCACATTGTTTTTGGTGGCCTGCTCCAAATAGTTGTCTGCGGATAGTCCGAGTTTGTGCACGCTCCAACATCCCCAACGGTTCGAGAAGCTTGTGTGTCTCCTATCCTAGGCAGGATGGGGAGAGCCAAAATGGACGAGGAGGCGGCTGCGAGAATACGAAAAACTAGAGGTGATAAGGTATCGTGGAACTAGGAGACCCCTTGCCCCCCTTAGATGTGCTGGAACAAAGGGTTGCCTTTATTCTTCTTGAGACTCATAGCAATTTCGCTGACGTTGGACTGAATGCAAGGATGAGTTTGCACGCCGAGCCCAAATCGCAGCGTTGGCAAACAAGGACGCAGGATCCAGCAAGGGAAGCCAACAGATTACCAAATACGCTGGACAAGCAAGCCAGCAAGGGTGCAGCAGCCGAAAGTGAGAATCAATGTGAATTGCAATCCTTTACTAGAGCATGGCATATTTCGAAGGAGGGCTGAAGTGTGCGAACGCCGATCTGTCAGCTGTACTTCCAAGTAGTATGTATGCTGCTTGCCATAAGAGCGGAAGTGAGAAGCCAAAGGCGTGTTTGTCTTGCGCGCCTTGTCGGTTTATTATGCAAATTCCGTCGTGTGGTCGTTCGAGTTTCTATTTTCTGTCGATGTCCCAAGCTTTGTTTCTCTACCCAACAAATATGAATATATATACACCGACCGGGCACCCAGATACCTGCTTTTACTTAGACTTTGAAATCGTTTGTGGGACAAAATGCGATGCTCGTACTTTGAAGCGAGAGATAAGCGAGCTGCGCGCAGGACAGCATGTGTGCTAGGCGAGTAGCCTCAAATCAGGCACCGGGGGGGTTGGGAAGCTCATGTTTGGCATTGCACAGTGGGTTAACTGCTCCGTTCCCGGCCCATAAGAAATTTCACTGGAAAACGAGAGTGAGAGAAAAGGCTTCAATCGACATAACCTCGCCAAGGCGACAGGTACAGTCACAACGGACATATACAATAGCTAAGCAAACCTCCAGGAAATTATTATCGCCAATCAGATTGCCTTTTTCTAAAGCGTCGGTATCGATATCCTATGTACCGACGTACGACATATGTGCGGTGTTGTTATCAAAGTATTACCTGCTAGATAAATACATATAATATCGCCGCCATGCCTGTAAGTCATCTTTTCATGGCTGGTATAATGGTGCCATTCCGATCTCTATCATAGATGTTGCACCACTAGCTAAATTTACTACACGTGACATCACGTCGCGAAATGGCTACCACTTTTCTCCACACTATCAATTTCCTGCTTCTAAGTCTTACCTTGTTTTGTGTCCCCCCGTGTCCGCCAGCGATTGGACCACCCGATTACGAACCGCATACACCGCGCCGGCCTTCTTGTTGACACGATCTTATCATGCGTGGCCCGTAATGCAAGCAACGTTGTTGATGCCGACAAAGGTTTTAGGCCCGTATCGACTTCCTACGCGCCCCTCCCTCTCTTGAACACGACTATCGAACTGATCGTATCCTATGGTGTGGTTGACGTGTTGTACGTCAATACAACGATCTACCAAGCAGACACTTTGCCATAGCCGCTTCGGTCGCCGTCAAAGTCGTCGCTGCCATGGACCCGAGCATACAGCGCGCTCTCAACGAGAAGCTGTACGAGAAACGCAAGATTGGCGCACTCGAGTATGTACAATACATAAGCCTACCTTACAACCCCGTCGCCTTCCCCGAGAGACACACTGCATTGCATTGCTCTGCGCCACCTGTAGCTGACCATATACCCTTCTGCTAGGCTCGAACGCTCCATTCGCGAGCTTGTTGCTCACAAAGATACTGCAACTGTCGAAGCAATCCTCGACCAACTATGCAACGAATATGCGTATACTGTCCACCAGCACTCCCGTAACGGCGGCCTAATCGGACTGGCGGCTGCCGCAATAGCCCTTGGCTCAGTGCGTACTTGTCCTGATCCCTTGTCCCTTTCCTCTCTTCAGCTCCCCGTAGCACGTTGCGCGTTCTCGCCCCAAACTCTGCGGCTAACCACTTTCATAGGAACTGCCACGATACTTGGAAACCATCGTCCCGCCCGTGCTGGCCTGTTTTGTCGACCAAGATGCTCGCGTGCGCTATTACGCTTGCGAAGCCATGTACAACATTGCAAAGGTTGCCAAGGGCGAGATTTTGATTTATTTTAACCACATCTTCGATGCCCTGTGCAAGGTGCGTCGCTTCATGTTGCTCTCACTGGCTCTACTCCCTACTGATAGGTCTCCCAATAAATACAGCTTGGTGCCGACTCCGAATTATCGGTTAAAAATGGTGCCGAGTTGCTTGACCGCTTGGTCAAGGATATTGTTTCCGAGTCGGCTGCCACGTATGTCTCGGTTCTTGTCACATCCGATTTCGAGAGCGGGGACAAGGGATTCGACCAGGACGATGTCGACCTTCCCACCGCTTTTTCGTTGAAACGATTCATGCCGCTCCTGAGGGATCGCATCTTCGTTCTCAACCCCTTCACTCGGACATTTCTCGTCGGCTGGATCGTGCTTCTAGACTCCATCCCTGACTTGGAACTGGTGGCATATTTGCCAGATTTTCTTAGTGGCCTGCTGACTTTTTTGAGCGACGCGAATCGTGACGTGCATATTGCTACACAAACCTGCCTAGACAAATTTCTGGGCGAAATCCGAAGGATTTCTCGCGTTAAGAGAGGCATCGCTGACAGTAGGAAATCCAAGACGAGGGGTGATAATAAGCACAAGCTTGTTCAAACTGAGACTCCTGAAAGTGTCCTAGCACATGTGGAGGATCCAGCCAAAGGCTTTCATGACAGCCCCGACTCATCTACCATTGCCGCAAACGCCCCAGCGTCAGTTCTTTGGAACGGTAGCGTCGGCAGTAAAGGTAACGATGGCTCTGGAGCCGATGGTGACGATGCCGATGATGGAGAGGAGGCCGAAGATGACGACTACCACAACAACGATGCCGACGAACCTGATGTTGACAGCGAGGACGACTGGGTACCTGGCCAGGATGTCCATATTCATTACGGCGCTATCTTGGAAATTTTGACTGATACGTTGGACTCACCCCAGGGTATGCTAAACGGTTCTTCCATTGCTTTTGTCAAGCAGCTTCCTCACCTTCCCTTAACCCTGATTGTATTAACGGTCTTCGTCTTTGAAACGTAGGAGAAGATGGCCTCTTAGAGTCACTGCGCTGGATTGTCGAGTTTTTGGACATTTGCCCCGAAGAAGTCCTACCTTTTACCCCCAAGATTCTTGCTCATTTGCTTCCAGCATTGGCAAGCGGAATCGAAACCATTCGGCAGGCTGCCGTTCGTGTCAACAACTCTCTTATAGACTACGTTGTATCTCTCCCTGCCGACCAGGAGGCCGGATTAAGTTCGACGCTGCCGCTCCGAGCTGCTAATGTTACACCCGCCCAAGCTGTTGACCGCCCGGATGCGAGCAGCAACCGAGCTTCCTTGTCCATCTCCAGAGATTTCGATGGGACGAACCCAGCATCATCATCTCTTCTACCCACAAGGGCCGCGTCGGCTACAACAACGGCTGCATTTAATGCTAGAAGATCACCAACACCGTCAACTGACCGAAAGATTGTAACGGGACCGTCTCCTCAACCGGAACTGGATTATGCCGCTGCTGTGAACTCTCTAACCCTGCTATTTTTAAACGATTACGAGGCGACGCGTGTTGCGGCTCTCACGTGGTTGATCATGCTGCATCGCAAGGCGCCCAGAAAAGTCCTGGCTTTCAATGACGGGACGTTTCCGGCCTTACTCAAAACTCTTTCAGATCCTGCAGAGGCCGTTGTGACGAAAGACTTGCAGCTACTGTCACAAATATCTCGCAATAGCGAAGATGACTACTTTTCGAACTTTATGGTGAATCTTCTACAGCTGTTTTCTACGGATAGGAAGTTGCTAGAGACGAGAGGTAACCTCATCATACGCCAGCTTTGCGTCAGTCTCAGCCCAGAACGGATCTACCGGACCCTTGCCAATTGCATAGAGAGAGAGGAGGATGTTGAGTTTGCCAGCATCATGGTCCAAAATCTCAATAACAACCTGTTAACAGCACCGGAATTGGCTGATCTCCGCAAGCGTTTGCGAAACTTGGAAACGAAGGATGGGCAGACCTTTTTTGTCGCTCTTTTCCGCTCCTGGTGCTACAATGCCGTGGCCACGTTTTCGTTGTGTTTGCTTGCTCAAGCCTACGAGCAAGCTTACAACCTTCTTCAAATCTTGTATGAACCTCCGTGACAAGCCCCCTGTGCTTCATACTGCACATGATTGATGGCATATATGTCAATGCAATAAGAAATAAACTAATATGCTGCCATAGTGCTGAATTAGAGATGACTGTGAACATTCTCATTCAGATCGACAAATTAGTGCAGCTGCTGGAGTCACCGGTTTTTACATGTAAGTACGATCTAGTAGTTGGAATGTAACAAAACAATTTTATTTTGTTACTGGTTTAGTTGTTCGTTCGCCATTTTGACCATTTTATACAGATTTGAGGCTGCAACTACTTGAGCCGGACAGGTTTCCCCATTTGTATAAGTGCCTGTATGGTTTATTAATGCTGCTTCCCCAGTCGTCTGCGTTTGCAGCCCTTCGAAATCGACTGAACAGTGTTAGCTCTATAGGCTATTTGCACACTGCTCCGAGAGTGTAGGTATCCCTGTGTTTTATTGACATCCCGTGAATCGACCACAGAAGTAGACGAAAAGAACATAAACTAACTTACGGTTCGCCGTGTAGAAATAGCACACCTGCAAGTGGGCCAAACTTTGATCGGCCGAATAGACTCAAAGGAAGAGAAGATGGCATCATCCGGTGGGGCGAGCTATTGGAAAAGTTTCGGACCGTCCAAGAACGTGCACGCCGGTCGCAGAGAGCGTTAAGTGGCCACACGACAGAACCCGTCGACGATAGCTTGCCTTTCGGGCTGGGACCCGATTTTCGAATCAGCGATGGCGTTGGCGCTCTGGAGCACAAAAATACTCGGGATATAGGCCCGGCGGCCAGGACTGTTGCTGGAGGGCCCCCGGTTCCGGTCAAGGATACCTCTGTGCAATCAGGACCCCCAACCAAGGCAAAATCAACCCTTGGGAAGCAGCTCGGGAGGTTTGGCGGTGCCGTGTCTGGTAGAGTGAAACGTGGTCACTGAGTGAACCGGCAACGCATAGGCGTGGTTTGCCCTGGGAGCAATAGGAATTACACAAAGTGATCAAGGAGAAAAGCAACATGTGTCGCAGAGAGGCCACGCGGTGACCGTGGCAAACAAATCCAAATCGCTGCACACAAGACATGTGAGTGGTGGTTCATCTTGAACGTTTAGGCGTGGCTTTCTCGACCAAGCCTTCAAACATATTGTCACGTATTTGCGTAGCAGCTTGCAGCTCTGACTGGAGTATCTCGAGTTGCTGCTTGGCAAGCTCCGTATCAGGAGGGAGATTTCTAAAGGCGTTGATTTGCTTGCAAAGAGCTTCGTCGTATTCCGAGAGTTTCAAAAATATCGTCTCGTCGTCTTCGAGCTGTAGAGTCGTGGGTTTTGAAAGCTGGGCTTGGACACTGGTCGCGTCTTTTATGTCTTGGAGACGCGAGGTTTCCGTTTTTATTTTGCGTTGCAGCTCTAGGTTTTGTCTCGCCAGGGGTGCCGACGGCCTGTATCCATCGCGCTCGTGGTCATCAAAACGGCTCCGTAACCTTGAGGAATGGTCACCAACGTGCGCATGAAGGACCTCCGTTCGCGAAAGAGCCTGCTCGAGCTGGAATAGATACATGTCCAGGTGAGCAAATTCACGGCCTGTTCCTGTCGGTACTGGGATAGTAACTCCAAGCTCGACGGATGTGGCAGCTAGTGCATCAAGCGCCAAGTGCCCTTCACGCGACAGTTCGCTCTCAATAGCCGCAACAGTTCTATCTGCCGCATACACCGGAGACATATGTATGGCCTTTGGTTCGCTGTTGCCATATTCTTCGGCTTTGGAAAGCGTCCGCAGCGCCAACGTTTCAAGGCTCGAAACGTGTCCGAAGTCTTCATCGACGCTTTCATTCAAGGCTGAGAGTGTGACGAGGGCCTTTAGCGTTTCTGAATTGCGCTCAAAGGGTGGAGGTGAACGGTTGGGAAATATGGATGACAGCCAGCTGTCTACATAATTCCAGTCTTTGGCTGCAGAGGAGGCGAGACGGGCGACAGATGGAGAAAAAATGGCAGCAGATGTTGGTATGCGTGCCATTCTGCTCGGCTTCCAATTTGTTGGTATAGCAGTTTGTTTGGAAGGCACGAATTGTACTAGCCGGGTTCTAGAGTCTCTCGGAGTACTATATGTGGTGGTATCACGTCAAGGAAGGCACATATGCTGATATATTTACAGATTAGCACGCCTATATGGCTTATTTCAATAGCATTCGAAAATCTCATCTCGATAAATGCATTTCCAAGGCATTGTTTAATGCTAAGTAAGTCCGCCAGTTACGCAGAGGCTCCTTATTGGTCAGTTACGGAGTACGTATATTGTACTCCCACAACTTATTGGGGGCCTCCGTACGAATTACTGACTATTAGACCTGGCCCTCGAAAAGGCCAGGTTGCCTACTGTAACATGCCAACCGATAAGGCTACATAATTAGCTTCAACGACAGATGAAAATGTGACGCAAGTAAGAATTTGTGCCGCGCTCGCTTCAGTCCCGAACAACTCTTCTACCCTCAAAATTGTCCTTAGGGAAACTGACAAAGAAAGAAGCCATTGTCAAATGCCCGGGCAATTCCTGGATAACTACTTAGCCAACCGCTATTTCAACCCGATATCCCTCCACCACTAAATACGGTCGCCTGCCGCCTGTGCTTGACACAGAGCAGCTGGCTATTCTCTCCCACAACCCCAGATATGCTTCACACAGCTCGCACTACCTAGCTGCCGACACGACACGTCACAATGATTATCAAGATTTCGGCAATAGCACTCGCGGTGTGTGCTGTATCAGCCCTGATAGCAGATGACATCCCGGCAGATACGCCTGTGACCTCTCTTCTTGCATCCGCTCAGAACCATCTTTCCCGGGGCGAGACGGGCGACGCACTCGCTTACTACGATGCCGCCATTGCGCGCGATCCAACAAACTACCTTACGTACTTTAAGCGAGCAACCACTTACCTTAGCCTTGGCCGCGCACCTCAGGCCACCGATGACTTCAACACCGCCTTGTCTATACGACCTGGGTTTGAGGCTGCTCATGTCCAATTGGGGAAGATCAAGCAACGTGTGGCTGACTGGAACGGAGCCCGCGACCAATTGAGGCGAGCCAAAGATGCACCAGATGCTGCGGAACTTTTGGCTGCTGTGGACGACGCCGAAAATGCTGCTTGGGCGGCGGAGGCGGCGGAAGCGAAGAGCGACTGGGAGGAGTGTGTTAACCAAGCCAACATGGCGATAATGGTGGCCACGAGGGCTGCTTCTTTACGACGTATTCGCGCCCACTGCCGGTTTGCCCGGGGTGAGGTTGAGGAGGGCGTTGGCGATCTACAGCATGTGCTTCATTTGAAGCCGGGCGATGTCTCGCCATTCCTTGTTATCTCAGCCATCAACTTTTACGCCCTCGGTGACCTTGAGAAAGGCATGTCGCATGTGCGCAAGTGCTTGCAGTCTGACCCGGATTCCAAACCTTGCAGGGCTTTACTGCGGCAGGAGAAAGCAGTCGAAAAGACTTTAGCGAAAATTGAAAAGGCTTTCTTGAAGGATCAGCCCTCGACGGGGATCATGCAGCTTATCCCAAGTGGCGACAACCCAGGCCTTCTCCAGGAAGTCAAGGATCAGATTTCCATCCTGCGCAAGCAAGACATTCTTCCTGAAGCAGGGCCTAGCGATCTTATTTCTAGGCTGACGGGTATGGCTTGCGAAGGTTACTACAAGGCACGCTCTCCCTTCTCTCTCTAGAGTATCCCGGGTGCCAGTTCATGTTATGACAGAGACTAATGCAGGACAGATGAAAAGCAAAAAGGCCTCCTCCTGGTGTGAGGATGCGCTTCGTTATGACGGGCACTCCCTGTATGGCCTATTGCACCAATATAAGGTGCAGTTGGACGCTGAACAGTATGAAGCGGCTATAGAGACACTGAAGAAGGCCAAGGAGGCTCGTGTCGACCAGTCCGATTATATCAACACGCTGATCAACGAGGCCGACGTTCTGCTGAGGCGGAGCAAGATCAAGGACTATTATAAAGTTATAGGGGTGGCACGTGATGCCGATGACAGACAGATCAAAGCAGCCTACCGCAGGCTTTCTAAGCTTCACCACCCCGATAAGGCAGCTAAGCAGGGCTTGACGAAAGAAGCCGCAGAGAAGAAAATGGCCGAAATTAACGAGGCTTACGAAGTCCTGAGTGACCCTGAGCTTCGTGCGCGTTTCGACCGAGGCGACGACCCGAATTCTAAGGGGCAGCAGAACCCGTTCCAGGGCAGTCCCTTTGGTGGACAGCAGTTTATGTTCCAACAGGGTGGTGGGCAGCAATTTAAATTCCAATTCGGACCTGGTGGCGGCGGCGGCGGGTTTCCGTTTGGGAAATAAGCCGACTGAAATTCCACACCACACGTCTTGCGTTTTATTTGATATTTTTTTAACAAAAAGAAATTTGGACGGACGTGTATGGGGCCTCTTTAACTGAATATTCCTTCGTATTCTACCCCGACATGTGGTCCTTTTTAGTTGTTAATTTTTTTTTTTTTTTTTGATAAAAGTAAAACAAATAACTGTGGCTTTCTGTTTACTTGACGGTGTTGTTTATTTCATCGCCGTTTTAAGTTGCATATTACATGACCTTAAATCGGAGTCGAGGTGCAAAGGACGGGTCTGAGGCTGTGCTCGTATGTAACGTTTTCTGTAAAAAGCGAGATCACACAGGGTGATGGGTGCAAGAAACTATTTCAAATACTAGAAGTGTGGCAGTCGTAAATCTACTACCGAGATCATATGATACAAAGATTAAATCCAGTCGTCGCTTCCACCCCTCGCCGAGGGACCAAAGCTGTGAGACTTTGATATGGCCCATGTGGTTGTAGACAAACACATGCATATAAAATATAACAAGATGTTGTCACAACTCCCCACTATGTATGTAAACACACCGTGGTCTTGCTTGCCACTTTACTGCCACCCTTGAAGTTTTTTTCAGCTCCCTTCACACGAAGTATCAGTCCTGGCACGGGACGACCTACTTATTTGGACAGATTAAAAAAAAAAAAACTACAAGGTAGACTGAATCCGTAAATGTATAAATGTGTAGATATCGTCCAAAGATTTCCATGCCTTCCCCTGTGGCGACAGTAACAAATAGCCATAGGCCTGGGGCTGGGTCCTGTGACCTGGATTCCTGGAGCCTTCATCGGTTCTACTGCCCCGAACTATTCCTGCGAATAAAATACGCCCTACGTATTGGTTAGCAAGTCATGCATTTGAATTGCCGAGCAGGTGGCACCCTGCTCCCTGGGCTCGCACGGGAATACGAGCACATGACAAGAAGACGCAGCTAGAGGGCGAATATAGACATACTTGGAAGCTTCGTACGCAGACCAGCAGATGGCGGTGCTCGGCATTGTGGTCACAACCCTGGGTCGAACACCTTTAAAAAACCCACGGAGTCCCTCCCGCGCGTGGAGAAGACGGCAACCGGCCATAAAGCTGTTTACGCTGCGTAGCTCGGGGTCACCGGCGCTTCCGCGGGTCTGCAGCATAGTCTTGATTACGTCCATCGGTGTCGTGAGGCCGGCTGCAACCCCGCCGGCAATAGCGCCTGCAAAGCAGTGCGTCACAGGGTCGTACTTCTTGGTAGGGTTCATAGCGGTGGAGATAGACTCATAGGCAAGAAATTGGAGCGCGGTAAACGGAACGGTCATGGAGAGTGTTGTGGGGTAAGAGACGTAAAAGGCGGCAATACCCTCGTTCCGATAGACGTATTTTGCACAGTCCAGCATTGAGCGATACATTTTGCCTGACCCCTCTATTTGCATACGCTGTTTGATGACTGCAGTAACGTACATTAGCAACTTATGAGCGCTTCTTGGAGTGCTTCCGCATAGCTGGCCAAAGAAGGCAGCGGCTGACGCCTGAAGAGTCTTACCGTCGAATGGGTTCATCAGGGCATCGCTGGCAATAGTAGCACACGCTCCGCTCGTTGCTATCGAAGTCAGCTTTTGGGCCCTTATCAAATGGTAAGAACATGGCTCAGTTCGCACAGGCAAATGACTGCTCTGGCATGTATACCCGAAAAACGGGCGGACGTGCATCAAAGGGACAGCACTAACCGGCAGCTAGAGGGTGGTGTGTGCCGACTTTATTGCCACCCATGACATGCTTGACAGCCTCGTACGTCGCAAAGTAAACGGCATGAGCTGGGCCGGCCCCGACGACTACGCTGGACATGCCCCGCCATAGGCTCGAGATACCTTCGCCAACGGCCATGCGGTAAGTGCTCTGTATCAGGCTGGTATAGGCGGGGCCACCGCTGGGGCTTATAACCTGCATGCGTGTCTGGAGAAGGGGGACAAAACGATTAGTCTGGGAAATGTGTCGTGATGGGAAACTATGAAGGGAGGTGTGCCGCAGGGTAGCGAGCACTGTCTATTTACCTTGATGGCATCAATTGGGTACATGACTGTGTGTTCCTGTGGCTCCTGGTCAGTATCCAGAGGCTGGATTGAGTGTCAGGATGCAGTCAAGCGCGGCAATCTGGCGCGGTTGTTCTGCTCGACTTCTACTCACGGCAATACCAGCAAACGCTCCCGCCGCCATGTTCTGGACAAGGGAGAAGTTAGGTGGTAGGGATTCATAGCTGCAGAGTTTGAAGGAAGGACGTCAGCAAGCATTGCAGCAACAAGTGAGGGAGTGTGCATGACTCTCAAGCAAACGCACTCGTAATCATCGACATCCTCGACAGGCTCGGCACCTGGCTGAGTCATCTGGGCCACAGCAGCAGACGTGCCGCCCAGGGTCTTGTCTTGAAGAGCCAGTGTGGCGATCGTCCTGGGCCGGGCGGGGCGGAGGGAAGAGGCAGAGAGCAAAGAAACGACGAGCTTGGCGAGTTGTCTCTTCTAGCGTCTGCGTCCTTGCCTCAGTCCACCAGTTTTGTTCTGCGGGCGCTGGGCGGCGTTTATTGGAGCCGTGTGCGGATATGCAGCGCGTCAGTATCGAAGCACGTTCGTTGGTGATGTCGGCCGACAGAGGCTGTCTGATCAGATAAGACGGGGAGAAGGTTGCGACGGCAGAAATATAAAGGTTTTGCGGTTTGCGGTTTTGCGGAGGTTGGTTGAAGACTGCAGGCGACGATGATGGGTCGTGATGGTTTGCCTCGTGGCCGGCTCTTGAGGCTCTGGTAATCGCGGCCGTGGTGTCGCGCCCCGGTAATGCGTCGTGTTGGCCTAGCGGATCGGATCGTGGAACCAATGCTCTGGGCGCTGCGAAATGTTGCCGCAAGATGGGGGAGTCGGTTGCGCGGAGGAGCGGATATCGGATCAGCTGCAGCTATTCTCACGGACGGCAGTGGAACAAAGGTAGGTTCAAGATAGTATGGAAAGGTTGAAGACAGTTCAGACCGGGGGTTGGATGCGTACTCCGTTTGCGATTCAAGGAAATAAGGCGCGAGAGACGGGGGAAGGGGGATGCCAGCAATTGGTTGTAATTGCCAAAGAGAATCGATTTTTCACAAAAAAAAACGGACTTGGGCGCTGGAAAGGACTTTTGAGGAAGGGGGGGTTGTTTCTTCCTTTTTTTTTTTTTTTTTTTTTTTTTTTTTTCGCGGAAGATTCACAGAATGTTTTGAGCTGAAAGTTCCAGGCAGTAATTAGTACTTCTGAGTATTACTGCACTAGGGTCTAACAAACAGGCCGAGGGTAAGTTGTCGCCTTCTCTTGTCTTTTCGTCTCTGTTCTTCTTCCTTTCTGAATGTTGCCTGTCTTAGGCTTTTGATATCGCATCAGATCTTGCTGTTTGGTTTTGTTTTGGTTTCTTCTTTCGTCTTTTCTCGTTTTGTCCTCATACTTCTTCATAGCGGGAAGAGGTGACCTGCGTAATCGGCATAAGATACTCTGTACCTGGAAGACGGCTTGGGACGAACAGGAGCTAAATACGATACGATTGAAAACCACACAAGTGCGGATGAGTTTTCTGACCACGAGAAAGATGGCTGAAAATAGAGCGCTAGCCTCAGTGGCTCGGCCCAGACAGGCACCCACTACAGTGTCCGATTGGCGGCGTGAGGCCATGCCAACGAGCGACAGTGGAGTGGACCTGCCCGTGAAAGAGTATTGCCCCGTTTCTTTATCGTAGGAAGAGGGCAAACTACAGCTCGTCTGTGACCAGCAGGCCAACGTTTGTTGTTCACTAGACCCTTGGGCGGCCGATGGCGTCTCGGGCGAGATTAGACCAAAAAAAGCCGCTTCTCAGTGTGCTGCCAGTGATGTCGGAGCCATTTCGGAGACACGCGAGTGCCGGATTGATTTAAAGCGCATGCACGCCGTTAATACCGTCACTACTATGAACTTGTTGACAAACGTATTTTTCGGGAAGTTGATGCACATCTGGTCGTCTCTACAACAACGCCACAGCGGCTGGTCGTATCTGCACTGTCATGATCACAGGTGCAGCGTTCGCCGTAACACGCCGTATATTACAGGCGCTATAGGTGAGTATGACAGCACTTGTTAGATACTCTCTTGCCGCCTGCATTATTACGTAACCGCCGCGTCCCCGGTTTCGCGACCGAAGTTCCCTCCTGCTCCGTGTCTCGTCAACGCCACCGATGCTCCGGTGTGCCAATTCCTCGCCTTTTTTTCACCCCTTGGCATGGGGAGTACTCCGTAGACCGCTCGGTCCACTCCAGCGCCACCCGCTGCTCCCCTGTTTGGGCAAAACCAGACGTCTCTTTTTGTGCTTTTCTACTATTTAGTTTGCATATGAATCTTTTCTTGTTCTTTTTTCAATTGCATTCCCCGCGCTTATACGCGAAACCTCCGTTCGTATATCCGATAGAGTGCTAGGGCATTGCGGTGGCATGATCATTGATGTTACGCAGCAGTATCCCCGCATTCTCACTCTACGAACGAGATGTTTCGTCCATGACCAACGAATAAATGCCAACGCGTGATTAAACCGATCTCGACACAACCCCCGATTAGCCGACGGGATTTTACAACGTTCAAAAAAAAAACAGACAAAATCATACGTCGTAAGCTGCGACAACGTGATTGGCTAGCCTGGCAAAAGGAGAATCTGCAGATGGTTGCGAAGCCTGCGCAAAAGTTCAGCGCCGCAGTTGTCCGGGCGCTTCGAACCCGTAAGGTCCGACATTAGAGTAGGATGAAAGTTAGGATGGTAGTCGCTCTGGTAGAGAGCTGTCGCCGAGGTCGTAACGTTGCCGTAGAGAAATACAGAGTAATCAAATCTTGGAACAAGTGCAAAGCAAGCACAAGAAGCCAGCCGGTGCCACAGACGAAAGGCTACACAAGTGGACCTGCTGCCTGAAGACAGCTTTAATAGTAAACTGACTTATAGCTACTAGGTAGTAACGAGTTCGAAGTAATTCAGCTCTATCGCGTTCCCCGATAAGTCCAACGCAGCGTTCGTAGTCACCTCAAGGACCCTCATCACCCTATATCCCGACTCAGATCCGCGAGTTGGCGGCAGTAGAAACATTGATATACGCCAAGTAGGCTGTCTGGAGTTATTGACAACAAATGAAGCAAAACTAAAACAAACCAAAACCAACATATACACGAGGTTCAAATCCCACGACTGCTGCGACTGTTTCCCATTATCGCCTCACCGTTGATGTTTTTGCTGTCGCAGCGCTTGGTATAGCTGAAGTTTGTCAGAGCTGCACCGTGATTGTTCGCCCCGAAACAGCCTATTTTTCCTAGCCCCTTGTCCCTCGCCAACACATACCGATTACACGCCGACACAGGAACTAGATTAAACATATATAGCGCGCCATTTCTATACCAGCATGACTTGCTATAGCTTAGACTCACTTCCAGTCTCGCACACAACACACGGCCCACAGCCGGTGGCCCGATGCTCCGTAATCATCTAGAAGTGAATGGCGCGGTTGTAGGTCGCCATGGCCGCCTCCTTGAGCGCCTCTGCAAGCGTGGGGTGCGCATGCGTCGTACGCGCAATATCCTCACTCGACGCACCATACTCTAAGGCCAGCGTGCCCTCGGCAATCATCTCACCAGCACCAGGGCCCACGATGTGCACACCTAGCAGCCTGTCCGTCTCCGCATCGGCAATTACCTTCACGATACCCTCGGAATCGGCGTTGGTCTTGGCGCGGGAGTTGGCAGAGAACGGGAACGTGCCGACTTTGTACGCGACGTCCTGTGCCTTCAGGTCTTGCTCCGTTTGACCCACCCAAGCCACCTCGGGGTGCGTGTACATCACTGCAGGGATACAACCGTAGTTGACGTGGCCGTAACCCTTCTTCAGATATTCCACGACAGCAAGGCCCTCGTCCTCAGCCTTGTGCGCAAGCATAGGACCGAAAGTCACGTCACCCACGCACCGAATGTGCGAATGTTTTGTGCGGTATTCCGAGTCAATGACAACACGTCCGCGCTCATCAACATCCAGGCCAATGTTCTCCAGCCCCAGGCCCTCGGTGTAGGGACGACGTCCGATGGCCACCAGGACAACCTCGCCTTCCAGCTAAATAAGCAAGAGTGTCAGCACATGTGATGAGAGACAGTGAAAGGAGAGAGTGGGAGACAAAAACCAAGTTGCTAACACAATACAACGTACCGTCTCGGGCTTGCCGCCTTTGGCAGCATCAACCTCCAGCTTGATCTTGTCGCCACTCGTATCGCCACTGACAACCTTCGTGTTGAGCTTGAAATCGATGCCCTGCTTCTTCAGGATCTTCTGTGCAGTCTTCGAAATCTCTGTGTCCATACCAGGCCCACCAATCTGACCGAGGAATTCAACCACCGTCACCTTGGCGCCCAGGCGAGACCACACCGAGGCCATCTCCAGGCCGATAATGCCACCACCAATCACGACCAGAGACTCTGGCACCTTTTCAAGCGACAACGCACCAGTGCTAGTGACGACGCGCTTCTCATCAATATCCAGACCGGGGAACGGTGTGGCTTCGCTGCCAGTGGCAATGATAATGTTCTTGCCCTTCAGTGTCGTTTCCCCACCGTCGTTAAGATCAACCTTGACTGTATGCTCGTCAACAAACGAGCCGCTTCCTTTGACGTATTCAACGCCATTTTTCTTGAAGAGAAACTCAATGCCTTTGGTGAGTCCTGACACGGACTGTTCTTTGGCCTTCATCAGCTGGGGCAAGTTCAGCTTGACGTCACCGACCTCAATGCCGCGGCTCTTGCTGTCGTGAAGGATCTGGTGGTAGAGGTGGGAATTATTGAGCAATGATTTCGACGGGATGCAGCCGACGTTCAAACAGGTACCGCCAAGGGATCCGCGCTTTTCGATGCAAGCCACCTTGAATCCTTCCTGGCCGGCCTTGATAGCAGCAACGTAGCCAGCCACGCCACCGCCGATGACGACAAGATCCTTCTCCTCGCCGGCCTCAGACGCGAAGCCACGGCTCCATCGGGAAATCGGCGATGTCGATACAACAATGGTTGGGAAACTGCGAAGTAGGAGAAGTTAAAAAAATAGAGAGATACGCCATTAGTATGAGATCAGTATAATGTAGGAAGCACAACGAGGGTGGGCACTGGGCCAGATAACTCACGGTGACTGTTTTCGGACAGCTGACCGGACAACAGTCCGCGATATTAAACAAGCCGACATCATCTTCGGCTGTAGGTGTGGACAGAGTAGGATGAAGTCAATTCGTGTCAAATGGATAATAGGCGCGGATATTCGTATGATTGACACAATTTATGTCGATGGGGGATAGAGCAAGTTTGGTGGTGGTGATGAAGACGGGTTGCGGGAGCTTTCGGATAACGGGCAACAAAACAAGAAGCTTGCTTGCCCAAGGCTTCGGAAAACAAATTTGGGTTTTTGCTCTTCTGGTTCGCTTTTTGATGACCCGGCCCTACTGGGGTGCGTCTTTAGTGGCACAATTAAGTGCTAGGTGCCTGAAATGTGAGGCGTGCAGGACCCGCCTTTTCTGACACTTAAGGCGATGGTAACCGTCACGGCTTTCTTTTCTGACGCATTTAAGTTCCATTTTGCGGCTCAGGAACCTTTCTATACATTGTCTGATTGTCTACTGTGCGTGTAGCACAGCTGCAAACGAAGTCGCGTAATCATGACAGATGCTGATTTGGAGTGTTCGTTATAAGCTCTTGCATATTTGCAATTACTTTTGTTCTCGTTGTCTCTCTGTATATAAAGGTCTACGCCCCGGCCTATTTTTCGGGGCAGCTTGTTGACCACGAACAAAAGGGCGACATACAAGCTCACGAGCCTCGAGGGTCTCGCAACGCCTTCTGCGCCCGGTCACACAACTTGGCGATGCGATCCTCCTGGTGCTTTTCAACTAGTTTTGATCGTCGGACCACCATGTCGATAAAGTACTGCAGCCCGCGGCGAAGGTCGTCCGTGTCGCTGGCGGCCTGGAACCGTTTGCGGATGACGGCACCACTGTTGCCTCCAGCCTTCCCAACCCTGCTCGTGCTGTGTGCCTCTTCAAAAAAAGTCAGCAGCATCACCTCAACAAACGCCCGTGTCTTCGCCTGCAACCGGACCAGGCTGAGGCATTTCAAGATATCTAGGCCGAGGTTTCCACTTGCTACCAGAAAACCGCACAGTTTCGCCGTGTTGACGATTCGACGCATGTCTGTTGCCTCGTCATCCTCGTCCGCCTCGTCGTCTTCCGCTTCTTCGCCAAACATGGGCTCGCCCATCCGCCGAAACAGCTTCCAGACGCTTGCTTGAAATACCCATGCCATTCTCCTGTCGGCGCCGCATACCTGCCGTGCCACAAGTGCGTAGTAGCGATTAAAGTGTTTTTCGGACCCGACACACCGGATGAGCACATTGGGCACCTCTCGCTTCTCGAACTTATTCAACCCGAGTCTTAGGAGCCGGGCTTGCGCATCTTTACTGTCGGTCGCTGAGAGAAGGGTGATGAAGATGGATCGTCTTGCATCGGTATTCATACCCTGCTCTCTCGCCAACAAATCGAGCTCTTCTACATCGGCGATATCATCACCCCAGGAGCCCAAAATGTCATCTTCGCCAGGCTCTATAGAAGCAAGTCGGCGGGTGCCATGCCGTGTCAGCGGCTTGTCGTTAGCGTCAGGTACTTTGGTGATTCCAGAGTGTTGACCTTCTGGTTGTTCGTCACGGCCGGCCCAGCTTGCTCCAACTAACCACCACTTGCCGCGCCTGCCCACCTGCTCAATGTCGGCCAAGCTGACGCGCAACGGTCCGGTCGCCTCTAGCTTTGCCGACTTGGGTAGAGCACCCAACACCTTTCGTATCCTTTCTGCATGGCCAAAGCCACTGCCTTCTTTATCACGTTGCTTCTTCTTGTCGCCCTTCTTGATGTCGCTTATTCTATCAATCATGTGCCATGTGCGAACGGAAAGGGCGTCTTCGCCCCCAGAACGCACAACTGCACGCTGGATGAGAGCCACAATGTCTTTGAGTGCTCTAGGGTCGTCTTGATGAAGACGGTGGCCGCTTATTTCAAACACCTTCAGTAGCATCTCCGCGCTTGTTTCGTTAAGGTTCGTAAGTAACATGTGAATGTAGTCGTAGATAAGGTTTGGTCCGATCATGCGGAAATTGTAGAGCTCCGCCATAAGAGAAAATAGATTAAGGGCTGCCTTGGACGGTGGAGACCACGTATGTTGCCGGCGGTCAGTTGCGTTCCTCGAGTCATTTTTAACCAGAGCATCGTAGTGTTGCTTGAAAAGCGTCGCATTTTGCTGGATGAAGTTCGCTCCGAAATCAGGCCCCTTGACCATATAGACTGCTGATGCAAATCCAGCTATCAAGACTGTAACATTGTTTGACAAGGCGCTTTCAATATAGATTTGCTCGAGAAGCTTGTCAGTTACCGCTTCCGTGACAAATTGTCGTGGGCTCTCGAGATAGAGTTTCTCGACCTCTCCAAGAATGGTTAACAAGTTGGCATCTGACAGGCGAGCAATCAAGTGGTGCGCTTGTCGCCGTACCCGAGTAACGCGTTCGGATTCGGAGTTCGTCGCTTGTTCAGTTCTTCGGAGGGCCGGAGGGATGTATTTCTGCGACGACGGCAATGATACGGCGGGCGCGACATAAGGATTTTCTCTGACCCGTTTCGATGTCCGCGTTGTTTGATCGCCCCCACTCCCTGAATCGACAACGATAGAGCCCCTTGTTTCTTCGTCCGAGACTCCAAAAGTACCGTCTTCGTCGTCATCGTCGTTGCTGTCATTGTCGTCCTCGGTGTCGCTACTATGATGAGCGTCGGCGTTTTGTCCCATCGCCTTTTGTCGTTTCGCTCGAAGCCATTCTTCTGCTTCGGTCTTCCGTTTATTTTTTAGGGTTGCCTCTACGTCCTTGTCTTCGGATTCTCCAAGAGACTTTAGCAAGTCCCCAAGGCCATCGTCTTTGAATGTCTGAGGAAGGGTTTTCCGCCCCTTCAAGCCTAGCTTGCGCTCAAGCTCTGCTATATCAGCGTCATCCTTCTCCAGTTGCTCACGCATGCGCCTAGAGGCTCTTGCCGGGGTGGCAGTGCCCAGGTTAGGAGAACTGGCGCCGCCATCATTCCCCTCCTCGGAAGTCTCATTGTTCAGAGCATCGCCCTTTTCAGCAATATCGAAACCATCAAAGTTGTTTTCGTCAATTGAACCATCATTTAATTCTTGGTTGACAAATTCAGACAGGTTTTGGTTATTCCCCATTTCATTGGGCAGTGTCTTGTCGATACCAGTGGCCTGATGTAGGTTGGGGGTTCGGGAATTCCGAGGCGTGTGTGTTGTCCGGTTCGACTCACGCCGTTGTGGGCAATCTGTCGCAATACCCTTCCGTTGTCTTGTGCGCATGGCATTTCGTCGGCCGCGACTGAGTGGATCTTGCGTATGCACACCAAGCTGTCTGAGGAGTCCACTCGACAAAGACGGCCCGGTGTTTCTGAAAGGCGCCATATGCGAACTTTGTCTGCGTAAAGCCTTTAGAAGGCCTATTTCGAACTCGGATGTTGTCGTGTGCTTGGAAAGCAGTGTCCAGTATCACCAATGTTGATTTATCAAGGAGTGGAAACAGGTGGGACCAGACGGCCGTTGTGTATATGCTCTTCCTTCTTCGATGGACGGTGTTGCTTAGTGTGTTTGCAGAATGAAAATGTTTTTTTTGAACGGAAGCAAGATTCTGGTTCGGTCGTAGATCACGGGCGGACCCACAAAATGAATAGCCTTGAAATTTCAGCCTTGCCTGAATGACTAATAATGCCGTTTTCATCTTCTCGTGGCGTTCTTTGAACCTCGGGCACACCAAAATCTCAAATTATTAGCATCACCTACAACAGCCAAGTTTCATTCCGTATCGCCACCTCTTAGCCATGCATCATCTTACCAACGACGAAGTATATCTCCCTGGAACGGTACTCCAACAGATCTTATGTTTATGCAGGTACTAAGTAAAGTGACACAGTTTTTTTCTCGGCTCGCCGAACTTTTTCACACACAAAAGGGCAAAAATCATGGCGCAATATACCTGAGCCAGAGACGACGTACGTGGATGCTCACTCTTTAAATTCTCTCCTTTTTGGCTTATGTGCTATGTGCAAGGCATTTCAAATGCTAACGGCTTTCTAATAGTGGTCCGCGGTGAAATGGACGCTTTGGGAACCGATGCGGATGACAACTCAGACAACTGGATTTTGGAGCCACAATCACTTATTATTCGCGCAACCAACGGCAAGTCCAAGAAGCACCGCAAGGAAAAGATTCGGTTAACGACAACAGTAGCACCAGATGCACTGACAGGCTTCTACGCGCGCTACGCGGAGACGTGCAAGGCTGGGATGACGCTTTTAAGACCGCGCGATAAAAGCAAGAAAAAGGCCAAGGCGAAGAAGAAGAAGTCCACCACAACGACACCGGGCCCATGATCGAATATAAGCACATCTTTTGATATGTACGAAGGATACACGGTGGTACGCTTATCTGATTGACGGTTATCAACTGTGTCGCCAACTCGAACAAAAAGTTTCTTTGTCAACGTTTTCGTTTTAAGGGCATTGCGGACGATTTGGCGGCAGTTTGGCCTTTTACTATTGCAGGCAATGAGCCATATGTCCAATTTCGCTGACACCGCCATACTTGGCCATGTAAAAGCAGATCTTAGATGAATTTTGTACAGCTTTACAAAAGTCAGAACATGAATATGAATTTGAATGAGTACTATTCACGATCCTGCGCAAGGTACGCATCCCTTTTTGATCAAGACAGTCTTGCCGGAAAGGCCCTCATAACTATTCTTGGAGCCATAGTCCGGGAAAGCATTTACACTTCCCAAGCTTCCCTACCTTGAAAACTGAAAAAATATGTCTTAGTTTACTCATGTACTTTTGGCATCAAATAGCCAATCACTTTTGGCCAGGTCCTATAGACTCGAAAGTGTATAAAGATAGGTGTTACAAATTGAGCAATAAATAGTTATGAGACAGACAACAGACGACCGGAAAGACTCGGTACGATTCAGTCCCAATATAAGCCACACGCTAGTTAATTGTTGTGGCGACAAAACGAAAAACGAAAAACGAGAGAAGAAAATATAAGGTGGGCATGTGCAATGCCAGTGCGATGGAAGTGAGTAAGAAAGGTAAAAGAATAAACCGAAATGGAGAGAGATAAAAGCAAACTGGACGACTGATGTCGAACGGACGAATGGATACAAAAATAAAATACTGCATGGCTATGTGGCAAAGGACCACACAAACAGGATTTCATGATGCTAGGCAAATGGTATCAATGTGACAACGGTGAGCGTCACATAATCTGATCCTGAGTCAATCCACCATGGGCGTCCGTGTCCATGTTATCGGCGGGTACTCCAGGAGTTAGATATTTGACAAAACCCAGGCCAAGAGGACGACCGCCGTACTGATATCCCTGGAACTTCGCAATAGCCGTCTCTGCTGTATCAGCAGTGTCAAAGCGGACAACGCCAGAGCCACGTGAACGACCACTGGGCTCGTACTGGATCTCTGCCTGCTCGACTTTACCAATCGTGGTAAATAACTCGACAAGGTCTTCGTTGCTTGTAGACCAAGGAAGCTGCAAATAACGAGTTAGACATTAGTGCTGCGATGAATGGAAAGTAGACGCCTTCAAGCAGTGAAGTTAGTGGCTTACATTTCTGACGAAAATGATCTGGCTGCGTTCAGTGCCGGAGGTGGCATAGTCGGTGAAAGGGTTAGGGGTAGGAGCAGGGCCACTGCCATGCCCACCGGCTACGGAATTGCCAGCGCCGGAATCGAAGCCGCCCCCGGCACCACCATAACCGCCACGGCCACCGAAGCTGCTAAAGCCGCCGCGACCACCCATGCCACCACGGCCGCCGAAGCCTCCACCGAATCCACCGCGGCCGAATCCACCGCGGCCGGGGAAGCCACCAGCGTGAGCAAACCGATCTTCGCGGACTTCCAGAATGCGGCCTTGCCAATCGAATCCGTTGAACTGCTGGATAGCATTGCGGGCATCGTCGGGGCTTTCAAAAACGACAATACCCGATCCCTTGGATCTGCCATCGGGGCCAATATTGATATCGGCTCGAGCAACTCCCGCGATTCGAGCTATGACAAGTGATAAAGTTAGTTGGAGGATAATAATCACACCCTGGCGCATATTCAAAAGGATTTTTCGCGTACCGGCCTGGCGAAAGAGATCTTTCAAGTCTTGCCATCCGACGGTGAATGGGAGCTATAAATTATGTGGTTAGAAAGGGATAGATGAAACCCAGTATAAGGGTGTCCGTCAATGCAGATGATGCAAGGGGCTTCAACTCACGTTCGCAACGTAAATCTGTCTGCTACCGCCGCCACCAGCATTGAAATTCATCTGACTGCCGCCATATCCTACATGGCCCATTGGGCCACCATAGCCTCCTCGGGGACCGGAAGATTGGTTGAATCGTGGTTCAGCCTCGCGGTCCTACGTGTGTTAGTAGTCATGATTGCTTTTATCGCCCGGAACACGGGTCAGATCCTATTGCTACCATACCTCGCGGACGTAAACGAGACGGCCCATCAAGTTCTGGTTGCTAAGTGTCGCAACGGCGTTCTGCGCCTGCTCCCTGGTCGCATATTCCACAATTCTAGTGCCATGGTCAGTGGGAAGATTAACAAATACAGAGGACATCAAAAATGCAACGGGTGAAATTTGTGTCGACGTACCCGCATCCCTACAATAACCCAAGGAACAACGTTCCAACCCGTCAATCCAACAAGTTCCCATCATAAACAATCGGCATAGCTCAGGGGAGAAGGGGGGGGGGGGAGAGAAGAAAAGTAGCCCAGCCAAGACTACTCGTTGTAGTCGCCCACCTTCGACATTCCGTTTGGCAGCAAGAGAACGTCCGCAAAAAGGACCTCACCAGCTGTTCATGTTGACAGGCAGTTAGCAGCAGAAGACAACATACCACCTTAAAAGGAAGGGTGCAGAGGAGGGGGGGGGTTGGGGGGGGGGGGATAAAAAGACAAACCCTGCCGCATAAAATCCTTCAAATGGTGCCATTTGACATCATAAGAGAGGTTTCCAACGTAGACACGGCGGTCTTGTTGCGAGCTATCGCGAACATTGGATAACATTTGGTCCCTGGCTGCGGTGCGGTCATCTTGTGAACGGTGAGGAGCGCTTCCGCCACTGTAGTTTGCGGCAGGCGGTGTTCCAGAAGGCGGTGCCTGTCCGGCCATCGGAGAGCGGGACCGTCTCGATGTTCGACGATAATTTGGGCTACGAGAGCGGTTGTTACGTGGTGAGAAAGATCGACGGTGGCCACCTGTAGAACGGCCGGGGCTCCGGGATCGACCACGATGGGGTGAACGAGAGCGTTCGCGCTGCCATGCACAGTTAGCCATACCCAGGAGGCTTATGCTTCGTTGGCAAGTCTCGTTGAAGGCAAGCCTGAGCGGGAAGGTAATAGTATGCCAAAATCCAACCACAGCGTGACGTCGGACAAAGCCCTCGTCTATTTCCACATTCTTACCGTTCTATGTGTGTTTCCCGAGTCGGCTGTGTTTTGGGGAATGGAAGTTAGCAACCTTGTAGTTAAAATGGGTCACCAGCAGATCAGTGATCGAGGTAGGCAAGAAGCCGCAATTGATGGAAAATAAAAGAACAAAGCGATGACGATGAGACAGATGGCAACTCTGCAGAAAGAGGGGGAAATACAAGTGGAAGCCGGCAGGTACTTATATAGGAAGACTGTGCAAAAGGGGAATCTGGACGTGGGATGCGAGGTACGAAGCGAGGTGGGAAAACGAAGTACACTGAGGGGGGTAAGAGGTGGCTGCTACGGGCGGAAGTAGTGGACACTCGCGCTTTCGTAGGAGGGAGTAGGTGGTAAGGAAAGAGGGAGAGGGTTGTGTACATGCGTGCGCATGCAGCCCAGTCTTGGGGTGTTTGGGTATGTTATGTGTATGCATCAAAAGGAGGGATTTTAAACTGGTGGGCGGCAATAGTGTCCTATTGATGCTTTGTGCTGTGGCCCAGCGTCTTCGTTCAGGGAGCCATGTGCCTCGATCATTGTGAGCAAGACCAGCCGTCTCGGTGGTCACCTATATTTGAGGGGAATGAGGTGATAATGAGGTGCGGTAGCAGGTGTCGGGAATTGACCAATGTACCAAAGCTGTTATCCGCTGTGTGAAGACGGCAATATGCTATGCAGAGGCGGCTGGAAGAAAGGACGGAGACACAGCTGCAAGGTGTTGGTGCACGGGGGCGCAAAGGGGGAGAGATGAGCGGCTAGCACAAAGGCGCAGACTGTGGTACAGCGTGAATCACGGTATTCGTTGTTTTTTGTCCTTCTGTACCATCGAGACCAGGAACGAGGTACAGGCGCCAAGCGAACGTGTCAAGTTTTGCTCGGTGGACGGTTAGGGTGGTCAGTATGCAAGCGAGAAAGGGCTGACAGTAGAGAAGAGGAGAGAAGAGAAGAAAAGGGAAAACGTGAGACAGGCAAGCGAAGAGTCACAAAACCATTGCCGGACGTACAAGACCGAGGGAGTTGATAGGAGGATAATGGGGACGAAGATGATGCCGCGCGGTTGCCAATGAGCATGGGACATCAAGAGCATCAGACGACGACGAAGAAAGTCGACGATGGAGACGGCGCGAGACGGGCAGAAAGCCGAAAGGACGGATCCACGGCAACGAGGATGGACCGGACTCGGAAAGGGAGGCAGTCCTGACGGACACACAGGGCAGCCAGAGGGTGAGCAGGCACGTATGCACGAGAGGGCCTGCAACCGTTTGCAAAGGGCGACGATGGATTGAAGAGGCGCGAGACAGAAGGCACGAGAAAGACGAAGAACACGAAGAACTCAAAACTTACCCATGATGATATACTTTGTAGCCGAGTGCAGCAACGAGGAGGGGCAAACCTAGCCGTATACGAACGTCCCACGGTCTGCTCTGGTAGGTGGATGGGAGTTTAGAAAAGAGTGCTGCAAGTACAACCGAGCTGGCAAAGGAGACAAGGGATGGCGTTGCTGTTGTACTTGTTGCGACGGGAGGGGAGGTGATGAGGGAGCACGCAGTAGCAGCAGGGTGACGAGGAGCATGAGGGAGCAGGGGGGGACCACAGCACCGCTTACAGGCTGGAAAAGAGTACGTCGTATGGCGGCGTGGGCGATGTGAATGGCGTAGGCAGGCGTTTCAGGGGCGTTGTGGTGGTTGGATTGGATGGGCGATGGTGTGCCGCGAGTGGTGCGGTGCGTGGTGTGTGAGAGCGGGAAAGGAAGAGAGGGAGAAAGAATGTCGGAGATGCAGAAAGCTCTGCAGGAAGAGGGAGTGGAGGAAGGTCCCTTGGTTGGCCAGATGGGAAGGAGGTGGGGGTGATGGAGTACGTACCGAGAAGGGCCTGGCCAGACAGGTATTGAAAAGCTCAACAGTCCTTTTTGGTCGAGACGCGACTAGCTCAAGGCACGACTGTGGACGGAGTAATTACAGAGTAATACAAAGTCGCCAGTGGTCCTCCGCACCGAGACAAACGGCTGACGTGCGAATATGTGATATTTCGCGTTGCGAATGCAAGCAACATTTGCAAAACAGAATTTTGCAAGGTTTTGTTGTTGCCTTTGCTTCCCTGCGCCGCCAGAGGGAGGGCGACAAAATTGGTAGAGCGGACGTGGGCGCCCGTGTCAGAAACGGGGACTTGCTAAAGGAAGAAAAGGAAGGGGGGGAGGATTGGTATAATGCCGGATTCCAGTCACAAAGGACGAGAAAACACGAAAAGACGTAACGTGCAAGAAAGCGTACGTCGTATTTGTACACGAAGGCTGAGACGGTACATGTTTGTATGGTGTGTGTGGTGTGTGGTGTGTGTGGGGGAGAGAAACGACGATTGCTTCTGTGAGGCGCGAGGTGAGAGACACGCGGCTGCCACATTGGGCGGGCAGAGTGCGAGGGCTTTGTGTCCAAGCTGTGCCCAAGGAACGGATGCTACAGGAGGGTTTTGTTACGGGCTTGGGAGGCACAATTTGAGGCTCGTCGATGCTTCCTGCTCGGTCTGGTGCAAACAATGCCCTGCGCACCTGCCTCGTTCTGCAGTTAACGAAACACGTCGACAGCTAAGGAAGCATGGCAGCTACAAAGCAAGTGCTGCACTCCAGCAATCTAGCAATCTAGGACTCCAGCAAGTCAGCAAGCCAGGTCCGGTCAAGGCAGAGGCGTTTTGTTGAAGGGCGAATCAAAGACTGCGCTCATGAACGCGGGTAACGAATGGGAATTGTGCAGCTCGTTGCACTTCAGCGGCTAGTTCAGTTCCATACCACGTTCGAAGTACAGAGTACTTTATGATGTAAGATACGAATGTGTGTTGTATGTGCAAACGCATTTCAGATTATTGCAAGGTAATACTCTATCTTTATCCGTATACAATCTCGGCAGCTCTGTGTCTCGTAGGGCCCTCGTTCATCGCCGACTTCGGGCTGGGGCAGGGTTGCCCAGCCCAACCCAGGTACGACGTATTCCATGTATGCTTTGGTCGCGATATGTCGTACTCTGTATGTTGTACCACGTCCCGAAATGCTTCTGTGTAAGGTTCTAGGGGAAACAGGAGATCATGGTGGGCGGGAGTGTTCTGGACGGCTACAAGCAACCTAGCGGGCCCTGACATGGTAAATCCTGGATGCCCCCATTTGTCGTGAAAGGTTGAGTTAATCGGGCGATAGCCTTGCACTGTTTAAAGCACTCGGCTTTTTTTTTGTCTGTTCTCTTTTCAATTGTAGTTTTAGGATCTTCGAATTATTACCACCGCGTGTCTGGACACATCTATACATTTAGGAAACTATTCCTTCGAGACCCTTCCACCGTTTTACGCTCTCTTTTTCAATTCTTTCCAAAGCCATTCACCCAACCGCCCCATCCTTTGCCCCTTCACCCCCGTTCTCTACATAGCGCGCAGCCATGCCACTTCATGTAGTCTGTTTCCCGCCCAGGCTCCGTCCCAAACCTGGCGCTCACAACGATATGCCGCTGTAGGCTGCAGTGCCCAGGACCTGGCGCTGCGACTTGTATGCTTCTGGGCAAGCTCTGATTTGCCCGACAAGATAAAACGTGTGTTAGCAACGGCCTTGTCGAATTGCCCAACACGCAAACAAAAGCGATTGTGCATTGCGCCGTGCTGCGAGTGGGAGTGCCCTCCGCGAGCACTTGTAGCCTTTTTTCTGCCAAGCCTGCTGCAGGAGAAACCAAAAGGCCGACGTGCAGAGCAAAGCACCGGGAGATGATGCGGCATGACAACCTCTGCACATATGCAACTTTGTGATGCTCTCTCCGTCCCCTCCCCATGGCATCCTTTGACCCATTTCTCTCGTATGCCGTCCATCCACCACACAGCGGCCGCTGGACGTCTACCACCTAGGTTCCGAACTGTCTCTGCGGCAACGCATCTATTTCCATAGATCGTATATGCATCTTTGATTAGGTGCATTACGTCGTGCGATGTATTTTGTACGTACGACTAAAATTGTAAGTGTATTTCTACGTGCCTCAACAACGAACTCAGTAATAGACCATCGAACCGCACTAAATTTTCTCCGACAGAGTCTCGGGCGGTGTGCCCGCTGAATCAATGGGCTATGGGCTGGGCGACGTAATTACTACTGCGTATTATTACGACGTGGTAATAATTACAGGCCTAAGAGGAGTCACTGTTGGCTGGAATGGCTCAAGTCCACAGGCCTGGCCAGACCCTGACCAGCAAAAGACCAGGTTTTTTTTTGGAGGTGCATCGAACTCAGCGTACGTCGTGGATCACAACAATTTATGACGCGCACAAACAACATTCCCCGACACGATCTCCTCGACTGCTTTACACCATCCACGACATAAGCCGCCGTCATTCCATTATGTCGCCATCAGTTCTTAGACATACTGCGGCAGCCACCGCCGCCCGGAGTTTTGTCTGGCTTCGCTCTCCCGCTCACGGCCAGCACCGTGCATTGTCTTTCACGACGCCGACAACTATACGTCACTGCTCCCGGCAACCCTGCTATGCGCGCCCCGACCCCGCTACCTTCTCTGCTGCCGGCCGTGCCTTTCACTCCTTCGACCACCCTAACGAAACGCCCTCACAGGACCGCTTCAGTGACGCCGAGAATGCCATTCTGACAGCAGCGGCTCGCCATATACCGACGCACGGGTTCACAGAGCACACCGTTGCTCTCGGTGTCTACGATGCCGGCTACCCGGCCATCAGCATAAACATCCTGCCCGACGGTGTCTTCAGCCTAGTGCGTTGGCACCTGATGAACCAGCGTACCAACCTAGCCACCCGCTGCCGCGAGATTCTGGGAGAAGCACCTCCGGATGACGTGGTGCTAGCCCCAGCAGAAGTGGCTAGTAGAGCCGAACGAATCATTTGGGGGCGGCTTCTGGGAAATAAAGACGTCGTAGGACGCTGGCAAGAGGTGAGATCAACTAGGGCGAACAATGTGTGCAATATGTGCCTCGGAATCCGGCGACGTGGCGTATCTACCCATTTGAGTGCCTCAGTGCCAGTTGCGTTTTATTTTTATTTTTATTTTTATTTTTATTTTGGGGGGGAGGGGGGGGAGGTCCTTGCTAACATTTCCATCTGTCCAGGCCCTCGCTATTATGGCCCAGCCAAGCTACATTCCTGCTTCACTGCGGGAGTTGTCCCTCCTGGCCGACGAGATCTGGGCGCTTGCTGGCGATAAGGCCGTTGATCCATCATGGTACACAAAGCGAGCTGCTGTCTCGGCCATCTATGTTTCAAGCGAACTTTTCATGACCACAGACAGTTCCGGCCCTGAATTCCCGGCTACTCGCGAATTCCTTGAGCGCCGCTTCCGCGAGTCGCAAGAGCTCGGCGGCTACGTTCGGTCTGTAGGGGAGTGGGTGAGCTTCGCTGCGAGTGCTGGCGTAAACGTGCTGCGGAGCAAGGGTGTGAATGTATGAGCCCAACAACATGACCACATGATATGGTAATGGTGGTAATGGTACGGACAATCTTTTCCTGTGCCGTACCTGTTTTCTGATCTAATTGTAATATAATGCATGCTCTGTATATACATCATATATATATATATATATATCCACGACCATAAGACTTATCAGCCGGTGACAATTGTAGTAGCTCGAGCCCCTGTACGAATAGCTAATCGCCTTGTTCATATGTACACCTGGATGGCAAGCAATATTCATTACTGTCAGTTTATTTTGTGAAACTACGTTCGTTGTTTTGCTCTTACGCCATCGAGTAGAAAGAAAAGGCCCGGAATCATTCACCACACTTTAGAGAAAGAGATATATAAACACAAATAAACAAATGAAACCTGTCCAGCGCTATCCGCCAAAGTTCAGAACATTTGACAAGAACATCGCCTGTCGGTTAGTTTGCCCCAAGAGGCACTCTGCTTGGAGTATAAACACCAGCATGTTTATATGCGCCTTTAAAACAAAAACAAAAACAAAAACAAGACTCGCCGAGTGCACACGGTCAACGTCCAGTGCTCAATTTTTACTACATTTCGTCCAGTGTTCTCTGTCTCGGATCGGTTAACCGGATGATCCTGACATCTGGTGCATGCCGCGCATTGCCCTGGATGGCATTCGGTGTGATGAAGATATACTGCCGACCCACCGACCGGCGTGCAGCATCAACCTGAAATATTAGTATGCTAGCACGCGACCCAAATAAACAAAGGAAAAAAAGAAGAAGCAGAAGAAGTGGCTTAACATACCAGCATGTTTGTGCTCACATCGCGGTTGACGTTGTCCATGAACACATCAAACTCATCCAGGCACCGCAGCGGAGAGCCCATCGCCTCCCATATGGCCAGTAGCAGGCAGATGGATGAGAACGACTTTTCGCCGCCCGAGAGCGTTCGCGTGTCGCGGCCTGAAACCTTCCGCCGTGTCTCGTCAGGCTCCACTTGTACGCGCAGCTTCTTACGTTTGTGGTCGAGAAGCAGCTTGCCACGGTAACCACGCTCAGACAGCAAATAAATGAAGTTGGTGCGGGAGTTGGCCGAAATGCGCCGTTGGAACAATCGCCACTTGGAAAGTCGCTCGCATAGCGCTACCTCGATGGCCTCGATGTGTTTCTTGCTGACTTCGCACACGGTCTTCATTTTCTCGAGCGCCGCTTTTGCGTCAACCAAGCGGTTATTGGCCTCTTCATCCGTCATGCCCAGATTCTTGCGGCGCTTTTCCAATTGTGCCACAAGAGACTCCATTTTCTTCTCGATACTGGCGTGCGTTTCGCCCTCTGGAATATCTACACGCCGCGGGCACACAGCCGCAGCATGGTTTGTAAATTCTTCCACAACTGAAGCCTGTTCGTCACGCTGGCGGTCGACCATTGCCTTGATTTCTTGTTGTTCGGTGAGGTTATCAAAAGCATCATTTTTGGCCACCAAGGCCAAGCTGCGCAAGTCCTCGCGTTTCTCCTTGGTGCGGTTCGCCTTGTCAAGCCTGGCTGCAAAGTCCAGCTTCGTGGTTTTTGCCGCATCCAAGAGCCTTTTGGTCTCCTCCACCTTTGCATTTTGAAGGGTTTTTCGAACGTTCACGTCGCCGTATTGCCCACCAAACTGCTCCTTTTTCTCCTTTGCAACAGCTAACTCTTGTTCAAATATATTCAAGCGCCCATCGGCGCCGTCGAAGACGTCGAGCTCCTCTTCGATTTCGCGGATTGTCGCCCCCATGCTTCGCGCTGTCTTGCGTAGCACATCCAAGCGTCGCATGTGTGTGTTGATTTCCTTTCCGCGGTGCTGCTCAGCTCGTCTCACGCAATCGAGTTCTGTTCTTAACGCGTCCAGTTCGTGCTGATTCTGTGCTAAGATCTCCTTTTGGACATCGATTTGACTGCTGACATCTGTTTTCATCCGCGGTTTTTGCGTCAGGTTGGGAACTACTGGAGTTGTGCTCACGTTGTTGCCACCACGAGTTGCCAAGCGAAGACCCTCCCCTCGTTTTTTGTCGTGCAGTACAAGACAGGCATTGACGTTTTGGGGTGCTGGTCCATTGAACATAATTTGCTCAGCATGTTTCCGGTCCTCGATAATGATGATCTGCTCGATGTAGCTGTTGATGATGAGTTGGTCACGAATAAGAGGATCGTCGAATTCTAGAATGCGGAGAATCGTGTCAAACTGAGAGTCGGGCTCTTTTCCTTCGGTGTTGATAGAGCGAGTATTGGCAATCAAGACGGGGACATTGCTCATTCCCAGACGCTTGATGAGCGCACTCAAGTGCTGCTGGTCGGCGTGCGTCGTCACAATAAATCCGTTGAGCGACGCACCAAACGTTTTTTCAAGAATAGGCGCCCATACGGGTTTCGTAACTCGGATTTTGGTGCCCAGAGGGCCAATCGGCTTTCTGGAGAAACGGCCATCTCTGTCGATGAGCGCCAGCAGTTGAGGCATGCGATTGTCGTAAGAGTCGTATGGCGATGAGGACCCGCGACTTTGTTGAAGGCTCCGGATTCGCGCTTCGCGAGACTTGACGTCACCCATTTTGCGTTCAACTTCTTGGCATATTCTTTCTGTCTCCGCACGTGCCGCGGCAGCCTGTTCGTCGAGAGAGGGACGCCGTTCAATTTCACGACTGATGTCTTGGTTCACTTCCTGCAGCTTCGCTTTAGCAGCATCGAGGCGGGCTTGAGTCTCGCGGCGCGAATCGCCACTTGTATCCTCTAGTCGCTGCCTTTCGTCCCGGATCTTGCTCTCAAGCTCCCTAGCCCGATCTGCGAATCCCTTCAAACGACTATGAATGTCGCGCTCGTCTGCATGCAGAGACCGCAATTCAGCGCTTGCGGCATTGTATTCTTCTGTGGCCTTATCCACAGCTTCCTTATAGCCGTCTTCTTCAGACCTGAGCGCTGCCAAATTCTCTTTTGCGCGGCGGAGTTTATCGTCCTCAATCTCTAGCTTCTGAGTTGCAGCATCCCTCAGCTGCTCTGCATTTGCAATGTTCCTCAAGGCTTCAGAGACAGCTCGGTCGTAGTTTTGCAGAACGAGCTCTTGCTCTGCAACTTGCGACCATGCTAGCTGGTTCATGTACTCGCGTTTCTTTGCACGCATTTCTTTGTTTCCTTCAATGACCTTTTGCACCCTGTCAGCTTCCTCGTGGATTTCCGTGAGTTGCGCAACACGTGCTTCGAGTTGTGGAATTCGTTCTGTGTGGGCGTCAAGGAATTGTTTTATCAGTTCGTAGTCTTTATCGAGCTGTTCGAGTTGGACGCCCTGAACAAAGAACTTGTACTTGAGGGCAGGGGAGGAGCTGTTCAGAAACTGGCGCGCATTGTCCTGCGACAGTACGTTTAGTGGGTTATCGACCTGCAGGTAAAAGTACTCGACGATGTCGTCCACGTCAGCCCGTTTTGTCGAAATGAGTCGCTGGGTACCGGATTTGAGCTTGAAGCTGCTGGTGCCGGATTTCGAAAAGTGTCGCTCAACGATGATGGAGTCGCCGTAAACATCATGCTCGTAGGCATCGTCTCCGCAGTTCTTGATCCACACGGCCAAGAAGCCACGTTCTTCGCCCTGCTTGATAAAGTTTTTCAAGCTACCTCCACGGTTTGTCGTGCTTGCTTTGGCGCCCAGACACAAAGTGATTGCCGTCAGGATCGCGCTTTTGCCACTGCCATTCTCACCGACAATGAAGTTGAGCAATGGGCCGAGTTCACATTCAAGTCTGCTGTGGCACATGAAATTCACACAAGTGACGCGCTCGATGATGCCATTCATTGCTCTTCTATTTTCGCCACTGATGTCGTCGGCCATAGCAGCACTGCGAAGAGCTCGCTGCTCCAACCGTTGTGTGGCAATCATGTCGTCTCCTTCCTCGTATTGCAGATGCTCGAAGCCCATGTCTCGCATCAGCTCGTATTGCGAGGGCCCTTCGCCCTCTTCATTGGCGTCGCTTTGTACGGACTGGGCATCGTCGTCATCATTCTGTTCGATGTCGTGGTTGTCGGGCGCAGGACAGTCTTCTGAGGCAGTGTCTTCCGACGACGGTTGGTGGCGAGGCAGACGGGATTCCTTAATTTCGGAGATCCGTACACGCTTTGTTCTCTGCTTGTGTAGTAGTTGTGTTAAAATATTGTATTCTTCAGAGGGCAACGGTTAAAAAGGGATTTGAACTTGCCGCTGCATGCTGCAAAGTTGAGCTTGACTTGGCCACATCAACAACCTCGAGCTCGGTTTCGGTCACCGGTCCATCATCTTCCAAAGCGAGGTGTGATCGTTTCCTCTGTGAACGTTCAGGTCCATGCTTTGAGGCGCTCATTAGACCAGGCATCCTGAGGTAGTGTGAATCATGTAGGGAAGATCGTCAATGTGTGGGACGGCGATTGGGATGCTGGCTCTGTGAGCTGCCTCCGGTGACAAGCAGCTGGTGCAATTCTTTTCGCATGGATTGTGTTGTTGGGTTTGTTGGGTTTGTTGCGCTGGTTGGCTTTTACTTTTTCTTGTCTCACTACTACGGTCAGCTCTGAAATTGTAGTGGGATAGATTAGGTGAACCTGACGCGACGATGTTGACAAACACGCGTTTATTAATTGCGCGCTAGGGGCTCTATGCCATGATGAAGCGCTGGCCGTCGACCCACAGGACAAGATGACTAATAGTTGGCCACGTAACACAGATTGAGTGGCTGGCGGAAAGCTAGCGACTCGTAATTAAGCGCGGGTTAGTGACCAAACTCTTTTTTCAGATGTAATTATGTCGTACGCCGTAGTTGCTTCTTGATTACTCCGTACTTCCCTTCTAATTGCTTGTGAGATCTAGTCCGAAGCCGTGAAGAGTGCGCCATTGACCTTTTTATCTCCCTCTACGACGGTGTTTTGGATCTTGTTATAATATCCAATCCATAATCCCAGCTCCTTGCCCATATCTTTTTACCCAGGCAATTCCTACAAGCTCCAAAAGCCATCGAAACTGTGTCACCCGGATATCCTTACATCCGAGCCAAAATCCTGCCTGTGGCTCGATGCTCCCTCTTTTGTTAACGCTTCAACGATGATTCTTGCTTGCCTGGATTTAGCATGGACACAGTCGAGAAATGCGGCGCCGGTGAAGCTTTGTCATCTTCATGCGAAATGACTTTAAAAAGTGACACCGCAGAATACATGCTTTTCGTGTGCGATCATGGTCAGGACGGGGTTGCGGCCGCCTCAAAGCCTTTGGAAAGACTAGATAAGCTTCGCAAAGCAGCTCTCCGGCTGTCCGAGCCCTTGACAGAGGACTACATCTGGCAACGAGACGGATTTGACCTTCGGGTAGTTAGTCGAAAGGGTACGCATATGCTTTAATTGCTAAGATTTCCGGGGGAGCTGGATGGCGCACGCTGATCTGTTCTTAATATCTCATTTACTGACTTGTTTAAAGGCCTACTGTACCTCAATGGACGGACAAGCTTCGGCGATTGTGTCGAGGATGAGTGGTTCATCGTATATATGCTGCGCGAGCTGACTAAGTCGTTCCCTGGTGCCTGGGCCCGGATATGTGACAGCGATGGCGAGTTTTTACTCGTTGAGGGTGCCAGAGCTGTTCCATCCTGGCTCAACCCAGAGATCGATGCGAACCGGATATGGATCCATAATGGCATGCTCAAGATCATCCCCTGTGGCGCTGGCCGGACTACAGAAAAGGTCTCTGTAGCCGCTTCCGATCAAACGATCCTTTCATTGGAGAGTGCGGTTTCAATTATCAGAAACGCGCCCGATACTTTGATACGTTTACCTGCTCTTGATGACGAGGTCTTTCACCGACTGCGAAAATATCCCGACTACCTTACTACCTCAGTTCACTATGCGCGGCTTGTTCTTCCCCGCAAAATTGCATACATCTTGCATGACCGACCGCGAGCTGTTGCTCCAGCTGTTGAGGCTTTCGTCTCTCGTGACCCGCTTACAACTAAGCGCATGCTCGACCTGGCCTGTTCAGAAACCCATTTGCAGTTTCCCCCGTCTGACCTGGTTCTTACCAGCGTCAGATTTACGAGAGTGATGTACGCTCAGTTGAGAGGTCAGCGATTTACACCACCAAATGGCTGGCCGGCATTGTTCGGCCCCGTCGCCGAAGCAGTATATTTTCCGAAATGCAACATTACCATCGGCGAAGAGGATATAGCGTTGCGAGAAAAGTCGGATGTCACCAAAGAGCTGAGCATGAAGCTCACGTTTGGGTTCGAAATAATGGCTGCAGCGTTGGAGACAAGTAACAGCCGCGTTGTGCGCGAAGTTCGGTTAGTTCTTGAGGATCTTGCCGAGGAAGGAGATTACAGACCAGTTCTGCCAAGTAACGAGGAGATTCGTGCTTGGAAGAATGTCGACCGTGAAAGTGATGAAGCCTGGCTCAATATCAAATTTGAGGACTTTGAGCGAGAGCTGGGTGGAAGTCGCCAGGAGCAACCAACATCACCTCCTACGACAAAACATACGACAGAGAGGGGCCCGGAACGTGACGGTGCCGCTGGATTTGGGGATGCTCAGTTGCAGACTGATCTCCGAAGAGTCGTCTCGCAATTTCATTCCTTTGTGAATGATGATGCTGCTGGCATTGACGGCGCAGTTGTTGATAACATGAACATAGACGATGAGGACGATACTGTCAATGACATGAGCGGAGAGAGTAGCGATGAGGGGGAGGACGGAGTCACCTTCGACGAAATGGACTTTTCACGTCTTATGAGGCAAATGATGGGACTTCCACCATCAAACACTGCGACAAGAACGGATACAACGATACAAGGAAATGCAAAAACAGAACGCATGGATGGCACTGACGAGGTAATTCCGACACCCCACAGGCCAGCTGCGGATATTGGGCATGGTGTCGATGGAGATGAAGACATCCCAAGACTCGCTGCCCAGTTTGAAGCCGAACTAAGAGGCCACGGCGCTTTAAGACTTACTCCACCTAAAAGCGGAATGGCTGGCAAAGGGCATGGGACTAAGGATCCTGCTCTTGGTGGTGCGTCCAACAGTCCCACCCTATATGTCGACTCAGAAAGCGACGACGAAGGGAATGTGGACGTGGATTTCAACTTGGCCAAGAATCTCCTAGAGAGCTTCAGAGGCCAAGAAGGCATGTCTGGACCAGCCGGCAACATACTGAGTATGTTGGGATTAGCTCTCCCTCGAGACAAGGATAACGACACAGATGGCAGTTAAAACATACTACAGCTTTAACAATTATAGTTTTCAACCCCACGGCCTTATTATAATTATGATTATCCGCCTTTCTCAGCCATTCCTGGCCATTGGCGTGTAGCTAGGCAGAATCCCCTTGGGGGAAAAGCCTACCGTACTCAGTAGGTAAATATTCTAAGTTGCAAATAAGCAGAGTAGGCCACTAATAGGCAACGAGTGGGTAAATACAACAGAAAAGAGAGGAGCATAAAACAAGCTAGGCTTAACACGTAGGCGAGGCAAAATGTAAGAAATAAGTGCTGCGTGTGCCTGCCAGGGGGACCTTCCCGGGGGGCCAAGGGCCACCTCTAACTCCCCGTTAAGTCCCTACTCCGGGAGCCTGCCGCTCCGAATAACCCACTGTATGAGTGGCCGAGCACGACAGTAGCACGTGGGCAGGGGCCTCCTCCTCCGCCCCGCAGCGGCAAGCCTGCGAGTCAACGGAGTGCCCCTGGAAGAGGTAGGCGTTCAGGTCTACGTACCCGGTGCGGATCTGTGTGAGAAGGCTGCTTTTGGCCATAGTTAAGGAACGGTGGTGACGTAGGACGGCTTATGCCTCCAGTACGGCGATCGGGCTACAGGTGAGCTGACGCAGTGGCCCTTCCCGGCTTCTCACCGCCAACGTACCTTTCACTGGCTAGCGATGTCGGCCAGACAACTTCCCAGGGTCTCTGCATGCCTGGGAGGCCGTATTCGCTGGGTGCGGCGTCTCGCCCCCCGAGTCGACCGGGCTTTAGCCTAATAGTCTGGGCGAGATACGAATATGGCGCCGCGGTGTTGCAGGCAGAGGATGGGCTGTACAACACCGGCCTCGGGGTGGGGCGGGTGGGTGTGGACCGGTAAGCCCGAGTGACTCTCCGTAGGTAGCCATGGCATATCGTGTCTAGCGAGTTGTCGGTCGGCGGTTGTTGGGGTCAGGGAGGAAGACTCTCTCGCCGTATTCCGACGTGCTCCGGAGCACTGCCGCGTAGATTATAGGGGCCCATGGTAGCGTACAGCTCTGACCTCATGACCTTCTTTCCGGCTCCAACCTCCTGACGACAAACCGCAGACATCTCAGCCCCGGGGGCCCTCTTCAGCGCATTCGGATTTGGACCTCTTGGAAGGCGATATCTCTCCACTTGGCCGCCGGTGTCGAAACTGACGTTTTGGGTCTATATTTATAGTATCAAGCTTGGCCAAAGTTTCCGTCAATCGTTTCCTGGCAGCAAGCTCTCTCGCTGTCTGATCTCTTGTAGGGCGGTAAAAGCCTCTCACGATCTGAACGATGGCGTGGTAGCACTGGTAGAGCAGAACTCGAATTGCCCTGCTCTCACTTTCCTCTTGGCTGGTGAAAGAGTCATGAAGAGCTGAGTTGCCGCCGCTGCTTGCACCGTTGAAGCCATCAAGGAATGGAGGGCTGGGGTGGTCGCAGAAGACCGACGCAAACAGGGGGTCGCCGAATATACAGTGGCTCCAGTCCCGCAGACCTGTTACAGATATATCCGCAGGCGGCTCAGAAGACTCGGGAGAGGACAACTGTGGAACGTCTTGCAAACACGAATTTTGCCCAATCTGGGCATCGGCTCTCGAAGATGTCTCTTGATCCGTCGGTGAAGCGGGGGACGTGTTCCTCTGCTTAGGCTCCTTGAGTCCTGTCTTGTTTGGATCGCTGTCTGTTACCGGACATAAATATGAACTGGAAGAGTGTCGCCGAACGGCTGGTGAACGCTTAACGAGAAGGTTTGTATCGTCCATAGCGTCAACAACGACAAGAGAGGGTGTAGTAACGGAATCAAGGAGGTGGCCCAGTCGACAAAAGTGTTTTCTGACGGTCGAATACGCCAGAGACACGGCAACATCCTCCCCATCCCTTAAGATGCTTTCGAGTATAGAATGGAAAGCCACCGACCAAGAGCTCATACCCGTGACAAGATCGCCGACTCGCGGAATTCCCGGCTTGGAGTGTGGTGTTAAAACTGCTAGGGCAGGGCCGAAACTGCCTGATTTGGACGTGATTTGAGACAGGCGGCGGAGAAATTTACCTGCCTGGTAATCAATGGATGCGCGCTCCTCTGTTGTCAACGGTGACAAGAGAGCCGCGACGGGTGTTCCTGGAGGTGGTCGGAACACATTGAACGCCAGGATAGATGGTGAGGACGAGGAGAACGAGGAAAGATACGAGGATGATGATGATGGCAGTGAAACAGAGCTTGATGAATCCACAGACGTAGCTGAATGTGGCTGCGGAGCCAGAAAGAGCGGACACGGGATATATTGAATTAGATCGGCTTTTACCATTTTGGGGAAGCCGGCTGGGTTGGAACGAGCTACCGTGAGACTCTGCTGGGCCGCTGGTATGGGCTCTCTCGGTGCTCTCGACTCTGCGGCACACTGCTCTTGGTAGCATGGGCCCCTGGAAGAGATATATTCTGGAGATTGTGTCACCACCAGCTCGTCTTGGAGCCACCGGACAATGGCAGCTTCAGATCTTGCCATGTTTAGCTCGGAACGCAGCAGTCGTAATATAGGACGTGGTGGAAGGACCACGAGAAGAGTCGTCAGGTCGGAGAGCTTGACTTCATATACTTGTTGCAGCCTATGGTGTGGTAGCAGATGTATCGAAGTTATAGCTGCATGTGGTGGGACAATGTTCGAGACGATGGCCATTATGTCCTGAACGGACCCATCGATTGGCGGAGATACTCGCTGCATGGATGGTAGTGCCGTCCACGGTAAACCACGGGGTCCCAGTTTACAGAGTTGTCCCTCCACCCGGGGGTTCGGGATTGCAATTGTGTGGTAGGTACGTTGTAATGAAAAAAGATCTGATGCAGCAGTTCTGCGAGATGCACAATATGTCCGAGACGCGAGAGCAGTGTAATTTGTTCGAGACGTGAAGAGCATCAGGGAAGGGAAAGGCTGCGCCTGACCGATGTGCCTGTTTTGGTGACGAGCTTGGTTGGTAGTCTGGCGACGCGTCGATGTGGATGAGACTGGACGAAGGAACCATACGTCGAGTGTAACCGGCAGTAGAAATGCTTCCGCAAGTAATGAAATTCGTGGGGTGGCTGCTTAGGGCAGTGTTGGGAAGCCGTCACGGTAGGAAAGGTCGGGTTAGTTGTGGTGACCTCTGTTGGTGGTGGCCAAGTCCTCCAGAAACCTACAGTCAAGAAGGATCTCTTTCTGGTGCATGATCTATTTGTCCCTAGTAGCAGAACATAGGAAAATATATGCGAACAGAAGTAAAGGAAGAGAGAAAGAAAGAAGGAGACAGAAAATAGAGAACGAGGCCCGATTGCATTAGACAGAATATGGCGGAGCAAGGACGCAGATAACACGTAGAGCGGGTATGTCCAGGAAAGACGGCATGAGGTGGAGAAGTCTCAAATTCACCCATTCAGGGATTAAGTCGACAATCGGTGCTCCAGAACGCCTGTAGTGGCCAATATTTTGTGGTTGATAGTTTCCTTTTCACACATCTGCTCCGTTCAAATGCACAAACGTAGTGCCTCCTGCTGCCCCCTGGTTTGATTTCCGGGCCTTGCTGAAGTCTATGTTGCGGAACGCTAGCGATGCTTTCTCGCAGCAGTGTCGGATATTGGCATGTATCATTGTCCCATTAGATAGAGGGGGGACACAGTGTTTTGTCGACTGTCTCCGTTACTGCGCGGCAATGCACCGCAAGTTCGATAATGAAGACACACATTACGATACAGCCTTAGCAGCTGGAATAAATGGCGGGTGTAAGGGGTCCAGTAAATTCGTTGTCGAGAGAAACGCATGGGAATGAGCCATCCGTGTTCAAATCGGAAAAAAGAATGAAAAGAAAAACGCGTGTGAGGTTGAGAGGCAGGGGCAGTGCCGAAATCAGCGGGGGAGTCAGAAGGATGTGCATAAATCTCCCTTGACCAAGTTTCTGCCAACTAGCCACGGGGATACGTTGGTGATAGATTGCCTTGTTTATTCCGCAGAGCCGTGGGATGTAGCAAAATAAGAAGAGACCAGCGAGAGAGTAGAAATCAACAAGGATCAAAGTCTTGATGAGGTAGAATGAGTTTATGGGACGGCGGTATCGAAAGACGCGGGTGCTTGTTTGTTGGCGAACTGGGATCAAACTCGACCTGTGGCTGATGATGAGCTTGGGGACTTTGCAGATGTGTATAGATCAATTCTGTTTGGCATAATCTGGCTGCAGAGTTGTGCGGTGTCCTTATGGCGGCCATGTATCTTTTGAAGTGCCTTTAAATGAGGCTTCCTGCCAGGGACACACGAAGCAAGCTCGCTGGTGGTCGTGTGATCCGAGAAGGGCATGTACCAAAAGTTGAGACTGGGGATACCTAGAGTGATCTACCACAGGCTGGAAAATATAATAGAAAAGGGGGTGAGAGAGATAAGTAAATAGACCAAGAAGGCGGTGAAGACGGTAACAGTATATTGGTTTATTCGTGGACATCGTGCCTCCAGCTTGCGACTAGGCCACGTTTGAGGAGACGGGTTTTACTGCGTCATTGAGATGTTACAGTCGAAGAAGGTGTGAGGCGGCCTGGGACGCGCGAGCCGTCGGTGGAGCAGGGTCCAAGGAGAGAAATACGGGGGCATGTGGAGGCTGGCATGAGAAGAAGGGTGACAAAGATGCCAAAGCAAAAGTATGCCCGTGCCCTGTGTCGTATTCTGCGTGATGCTGTTGCTGGCTGGCGGCAGCTGGTCGTCACGAAGAGAACATGTACGGAGCATGGATGTGTGAGGACGCGTGAGGGTTTGTGACCCATGTTCAGGTGTCTGGCGTGAGGAGAGCTCGCCAATTGTGAGATTGTCGCTTGGGTGGAGAGTTGGTCGGCCTTGCCCAGGCGAATAGGGTGTTGCATGTAGCGAGAAACGGGTGAGGCTTCGTCCAGGACGGTCTAGTTTTCCGCTTAGCGTAGCATGGCCGATGCCCGACCAGCATCTGTTTTAAAGCGGCAACGTGGACCGGGCCTGTACAATAAAAGGCAGGACGAGAGCCAGAGGTAATAGAACAGCCATGGGAGACAAACGCAAAGATGCATGGCAAACATAATTTTTCAAGAGGCAGGAGCAAAGCATCGGACACGCTCGGCACGTATGCCTATGATAGATGATAGCATCCGTCGTCGAGAAAGGAAATTGGGTGGAAGCAACGTTTCAAGCCGTATCGAGCTCTTTGGCACCAAGCCTGAAAAAGGAAATGAAAAGGCAAGAACAGGTCCTTTGACAGTAGACGTGTAGCTCGAGGCATTGGTAAGGCCTGAGGCGAGCGGAAAGCTGAGAGCAGAGGCCAAAGAGGACGAGCACGACGGCAGACACAAGATGTCGTCTTATTCCACGGTGGGGCTGCGCCGGCAAGTAGGCGAGATAATAACCAATTCGAGAGGATTTTTGGAGTCATATGCAGTGAGCAGGACAAGAATGATATGGGAGCGTTTACATGCGTTGTCGCAACAGGGGAAACAAACATCGAGAACAAAATGAATAAAAAATGGAGAAGGACGACGAGACAAGTGTAAGCCTATTGGATGAAAATGGTGTTTTACCAAAATAGGAAATGGCACATCGTAAGAGCCCATATATTCACCAAGCAGTGAAATAGAAGACGGACAATCCAGGGAGTAAGGAGGTGAAGAGAACACAAGAGTCCCGAAGGAGAAATAGGTTGGGAAACGGAAGAAGCAACGAGAAGGAAGCCAGAGAAACCCCGAATGTCATAAGTGACATAGAGAGCATGAGGACCAAGTAGGCCAATAATTTTGGGCCGGTGCGGATGGCGAGATTGGCAGGGGCAAGCGAGACGGGTCATCTGTGATTGGCTGACCGTTAGCGAGATAATGTCAGACCAAAGACAGCTCTGACCATTGACATCATGACGAGTGGATGGATGGTGGGAGTCTTGAAAACTTTCGAGATATTGGAATCTCAGGTTGTCCTGCCCGGGAATACAAAGTGTTAGGTATGAGTTTAGTCATCTGCAGTGTCCTCCGTTCTCGGGGAGATAGTGTCGTCCGAGACAGCGTTCCAAGCACTGGAATGTGCCCGCCGGTGAAAGAAATGATATTGTCTGCATACAAATGTGTGCATGCATAATATGACGTCCCTTTCTATCACCGATCCGACCAGGCCACTCCTTGATCACAGCAATTCTGCATTGCGAGAAGGACGTTGTAAGCAACACGCACTCGACTTAATCATGCACTGTTACGTCGTGGCACGTTGCAAGGTATTTTGCAGATTGTTTTGTAGCCCGAGTCTCCATGCCCAGGGCCTGGAGACATTTGCCAGCTGCCTTGGCCAGGTTGGGGTCACAGCCGACCGTGGCTCGTCAAATTTATCGCAATAGGGCCTAGCGCGAGAAGGCCCCCACAAGAAAAGTGCGACGACGACCCGAACGTGAGTTTTGCCGGCAAAAATGCTCTGTTTATCGGGGCGGTACTTCAGGCGGCGGAGACGGAGGAGCTGCATCGGTGAACGGCAAAAGGAAAGCATAGTAAGGACAGCCGGACACTTTCCTTGTTGATTTGCGACGTAAAACAAAGGTAAAGTGCGTGACAGATGAAGGCGAAACAGCATGCGTTGGGCAGATTGCTGCATCGATTGCAGCAGCCGCGTTACTTTTAATCGGACGGTGCTGTGCCCCATTGATTACAAGCTTGCAGCCAGGCAATAATTGCATGCGATTAAGGTAACATGCTCCGCACATATCGCCCGAATCCAACCTCCCTCACACGGGGCTGATCCGCTACCAACCTGCCCATTGACATTCAATGGCAGCATACGCGGTGCTCATTATATGATCAGTAGGAATGGGACAGGTGTACAAGAGCCAAAAACGGAACAATGTGAGTCGATTTGCCCACCCGGTTTTCATAAAATGCGTGACACAGACTGCTCTTGGAAGCGGTGCCGCAAGGAAATTTGTAAAACAAGTTCCGACCAGCCTGGTCGCAGGACGCACAAGCACGGAGTGTCAATTAACGATGCCAGCACCTTGCAATCAAGCAACTCGCTTCCACGCTGTGCGACTCACGCTTAGCGGAATCAGCAAGACTCGTCCTTGTAACGTGTGTCAAACCACAAGCGGCTTCTTCTTCGGCGTCTGAGATTCTCGAGTGCAGGTAGTGATCTCGCCGCTGAATGAAGGGCCATAGACACTCATTTCTCGCCCTCTGTCGGACCAATAGTCACTGTATCCCCACCCTCCCCGGTCGTGGTAATCGTCCCAGTCACCTTGGCCAGGTCCTGCGGCTCTTTATTCTTGAGCTGGAGGTTGCTAAGTTCTGAGAGGTTGTATTTCCGAAGGCTATTCCAGTCCCCGTCAACAACACTCATACCGCAGGTATACTTGTCACTATTAGTACGGGAAGTGACAGTATATGGGGCCCGAGGACAAATATTACCCGAAATATTTCAATCAATATGATCTTATCCGGATTCACCAGGTCGACTTTGTGGTGGTTTTGGTCAATCAATGCTGCAACAAGATCAATCACACTGCGGCGCTCGAGTTCGTGGTGGTGTCGGAAAGACGGGCGAATAGCAAACTATCAATAGAAACAGAGAGTGCAAAGTTTTTATTAGCATCACAAACCATTCCCATAATACCGTGCTGTGGGATAACCGAGTCATAAAAGGTAGACGTAATGCGTCCGGTGCAATCAAAGCAGGCCCCCTGCCCCAGCAAAAACAAAAAAAAAAAAAAAAAAAAAAAAAAAAAAAAAAAAAAAAAAACCAAAGCTTACTGTGTAATCGGGCTTGTTCTCGGCCGTGCCTTGCATTTTCTTGAGGGCCGTATAGATGGGAGAAGTGCTGTCGTCATTGTCTTTCTCGCCCAGGCAATTTGCTGGTTGTAGTGACAGCTTAAACCATGGCGACAGAACCTCAAGTGCAACATGCCGGACGCCTTTCTCGGTGGCCCGTCCGCTGGCTGTGATTGGCGTTAACCGGTTCAGATAACGGAACGAGCGCGTCATTGGCACAGCTGTCCCCTTCTCAATTGCCTCGTCCATGGCCACCGCGGCTATTTCTGCGTCCCGCTTCACGTCGACGCTGATCTGGTGGGCCATGGCAACCGGGTCAATGGGTGGTACCGTTTTCGAGAATAAAAGGCATTCGACATTGAGGCGAATCTGAGTAAAGTAGTGACTTTTGTTCTTGGACGGAGTCCTCAACGAAGCGATCTCCCTCTGAACAAGGTCTTCGATTTCGTCACCGCCACCGGATTTTGCCTCGTTGCTGCCATTGGAAACATCCTCCCCTGAAACTGTACCAGTCTCGGCACCTTCTTCACCCGGGATTGGAATACCATACATATTTTTGGCATACTGCTGTCAAAGAACCCGCAAAGGGTGAGGCGGAGAAATACCGGTTAGCTTGCGTACGAGAAGCTCTAGACAGAGGGAGGGTGGGAGGGTATTGTCAATCCTAGACCGTCTCTGGGCCAAGGAGACATTTCCCGTACCTTGTCAAACAAATCTATCATTTCACGGGCTGCCCGGCTTTCCATGTTGCGCGCACAGGTCACCCAGATGCCGACATCGCCAGGCTCGACAGAGCCACGCTCGACGTTGAGGCTCTTGACCTTTTGGTGCGACGTTGTCCACTTTCCATGGTTGCCCGCCTAGTAGAACTATCAGCAGAGGCTCACTCGATAGCATTTGCTGTAGTTTGTATTGACAACCAACCTTTTTTCTCTTGGCACTGGTGCCCGCGTTTGGCGGGCTTTTTCTCTTCGTTGAGTTTGACATAGGAGGTCAGGTTACAAAACCCAGATAATTATGAAGCTAATATACGAAATAAACGCAAACGCGAACAATGGGGAGTGTACGAGGTGCAGCAGCAGGGGGACGTGGGACAAGAAAGTGCCTTGGACTTTGAGTTTAAGGTGATGTGAGAAAACAGGAGATTTTAGCTTCACGGCTTATGTTAACGACTGGAAGTGTGGGTCACGTGCTCCACCACTTTACTATTAGCTCCGCATAATATTCAAATAAATAAGAAAAACGAGGATCTTCTTTGCCCTCTTGCCATATAAATATTTATATATAAAAAAACCAAAAAGAGCAGAATTACATATACCCAACGAAAAGAATTACATCTAATGATATCTCGTCCTTGTATGCCCTATTGATCTACTCCGTCTTGGAATTTGTCTTTGCACTAGCTTCTGCCGTCAACACAAGAGACTTCGGTGCGTCTTCCTTAGGCATATATAGTTCCACGAACTGAAGACGTTTTGCGGCAATGAAATCCTTGTCAGCTAGGAGGTGGTCAAGCTCAGCAACGGACTTGACCTGGAATTTAGCTGTGTTCTTCTCTGTGCCACCGAAGACGGTGACTAGGTCCTTGAACTTCCACGCCGAAATGTCGTTGTAGTCGGCATCCATGCCGTGGATATACCTCTCAATGGTGAATCCATCATTGCAAATCAGGAAACTGGAGGCAAAGGCAAACGTTAGTCCTGGTCACTGAGAAGAGAGAACAGGGAACAAAAACATCATGGAACGGGCGGGAACTCGTCTCACATGATGGGGTTGAGCTTGCTGCGAATCATTGTGCTCAATTCTTGGGCGCTTAGCTGGAAGGACCCATCTCCGACAAAAAGGATCGTACGGCGGTTGGCGCCCATATCCTTCACGGCGAGAGCTGCACCTTGGGTGGCACCGACCGACCACCCAATGCTTCCCCAAAGGACCTCTGAGAGACATGTTAGTAAATTCAGTTGTGTACTCTTGGCCTTCACCCCAGTATAGCACGTACGGCTCAGGGCAGTGACGCCTTTAGGATACACGGTATCCCAAATGCCAAAATTGGCTGTGCCCGTCTCAGTGACGATGACATCGTCCTCTTGAAGAAAGCTACTGATTCTTGGCCAGAACCAAGACTGCGTAATGGTACCGGACGCCTCTGGTTTCTCCAAGACGGGTTGCTTGTGCTCAATGGGCTGGGCATTGAGCTTGCTGGGGTCAACGCGGTCAATCACCTTCCGGAGCACGCCGCGCATACCAACACCGGGATAGTGAGAATAACGCACGGCAGTGTAGGTGCTGTGGAAGTCAATTGTCCGAAGCTGCGATGTGCGGTACGAGAACCCCGAGGTGTTGAAGTCACTCTTGAGGGATCCGATGGAGAGAATCAGGTCGGATCCCTCGACATGCTTGATGACGTCGGCGTGGGAGCTAACGCCAGCATATACACCGCCATACGTCGAGTGCTCCTCGTTGACAGCACCCTTGCCCATGGGAGTGACGAATACCGGCAGCCTGGTCTTTTCAATGAGTTTGTGAACCTCGTCGATAACACGGTGGCGAATGGCACACGCGTCGACCAAAATAACGGGGTTTCTGGCGGCGTGCAAGTATTTGAGAACGACATCCACAACATAGTCCTCGCTCTCTGGCTCGTTCTCGTGGTCCTCGAGACGAATCGGTGTACGTAGCCGGTCGCCCTCAACCTTCTTCTGGACCATGTCGGTGGGCAGCATAATGTAGACGGGTCGGCTGTGGAGCCAACACTGGTGCAGGGTGTGGTCGATCTGGTCGGCGATTTCGCTAGGGTTCACCAGTTTGGAAAGCTCGCAGCTGACGTGCTTGCTCATGTCGGAAAACACATTGAAGTCGCCGTTGCCCAATGTGTGGTGCAGCAGCATGCCATGGCGTTGGGCAATGGTAGAGGGACAGCCGACAATGTGGACAACAGGGACCTGTTCGGCATAGGCACCGGCAACACCGTTTAGGGCCGACAGCTCGCCGACGCCGAAAGTCGTGACCAAGGCAGCCGCGCCCTTGACGCGGGCATAGCCATCGGCTGCGTAGGCGGCATTGAGCTCGTTGACGCTGCCGACCCAGCTGAGGTCGCACTTGGGGATGTAGTCGAGGGCCACGAGGTTGTAGTCGCCGGGCACACCGTGAACGGAGCGGATACCAAACTGGCGCAGGCGGGTGAAAAGATATTCGGCCACGTCCACCGGCGTCGAAAGCGTCTGGGTGCGGATGTCGGGGGCTTGTGCGCCAGACATACTTGTAGTGGAAGTGGAAGTGGAGCGTAAAGTGCCAAGATGCGTGTAAGAGGGTCTGTAGTCGAAAAACAGCAATTGGAGAACCCAATGTGTTCTAATGGCAAAGGGGCCCGGTTGAAGATAATAGAACGATAAAATGAGGTACCAGCGTTTGCAGTCTTCAATGGAGAAAATATGAACGATGAAATGCGCAGGGAACCAGGACAGACCAGAGCTTTTGTCGGTGGAAGGAGATGGATTAAATATGGGAGGGGAGCTACGGGAGCTCGGGGAGCTTGAGCTAGAGCTGATGACGTTGATGAGTGCTGCCACAGATCACGCCAGCCAGTCCCACTTGGAGGGGCGAGAGCCGAGACCGTTGCATCCTTTGTCTCCTGTTGATTGTGCTGAGGCCTGAGGGGCCCGCGGGCGTCATTTGTCTTGCCCAAAGGTGGGCAGCTGTAGTTACTAGCGTCAGGCCACTCAGCGCACCTGCAGTAGGACACTGTGAGCAACAGCTTTTTTTTTAAGTGTTGAACGAGTTGGATTCAACGGCTCGTACCATCACGACACGATAACGGCCGATGCGAGAGATGCGATGTACAGTCGCCACTTGCGTTGCCATATTTGTGAGCTATGGAAATTTGGATGACGAGTCACGGGGCGCTTTCTCATTGCCATCATGTCATCTTTTGGGATGCGCGGGCAGTCGCAACGTAGGAAATAACTGATTGTTTATCTGTATTTTTGAACAGCAACATTCTGGGCCTTTCTCGACATTGCTGGGCTTTGCTGCGAGGTGCAAGTGTTTGTTCTCTGGGCTCACGCATTGGTTCTGTGCGTTAAATGCGTGCCTTGTAATTGCCTTTTCACGCCGTTAGCATAGAACAGACGCCGAAAAGGGGCCATGAGAGATAAGATTTGTTATTTGCGAGTGTCTCTGTTGCCAATTCGTATGGCCGTCTAACTATCGTACATACCGCCCTTTTTGTTTCTTTTAGAAAAGACCGTGATCCTCGAGATCCTTGACCGTAGTCTTTTTCATACTTGTCATGTTCCTGTACATCGTACAACCCCCCGACTCTCCTCTCAATCGCAGCGCCCGTCTTTCCACCCCGTCCGCCACCGTTCCTCCCAGAGGTTGCAGTCGAACTGCGGCTTCCCCAGCTTGTCGTTGACTTCGTTGTGCGCCGCGCAAAGCCAGCGGCCAAAGTCATCGCGCGATGCTGTGCGCACGGGCGACTTGGATAGGAATATTTGAAAGTCCTCGGCGCACACCCAGCATGGGTACAGCCGCGATAATGTACCTATGAAGCCCTTGACGTCGGCTTGCTGGCTGGGGCTGGGCTGTGTGGGATACTGTGCTGCGATTGTGTGCAGCAGTGTCCACGTGCCACGTCCGAGTGTCTCGACATCGGCTGGGCAGTCGACCGGCGGGCCCGCGGCTGCCGCTGTAATCGCTGTTGATGCCGCCATGGCTGCCGCCGCGGCTGTTCCCGCTGAACCGGATGACGATGGTGTATTTAGGGACGTCTTCGTTTGGTTGGCCCATGATGCAAACGACGTGCAAGACCGGCATGGTTTGCCATCCTTGCCGAGCACTACGCCTTTGGGAATTCGCTTGGGCGCTTCTGCCCTGGATACCGGCGGCCCCGGCTGCTGCGGTGTTCCCGCAGACATTTTGCTGGTGTTGTCGGAAAGTCGTCGCGCCACATCAAATTGTCTTTGCGACAGCTCGCACGTTGAGTCCCGCCTTTCACTCCTGCCTTCACGGGTTTTGCTGTTGTTAGGTGGTGGTGCTATTCTCACATATCCAAAGAGCATTCGATACCCTCGAATTTGTAAGCTGATAGGGACCAAGACGCAAACCTGAACCTGAGTTAAGTCTCCATAATGTCGTATTACACTGTAATTACTGGTCAGGGAGGAAAAATGTTAATGGACGAAGGAGTCTCGGAGTCTGGAAGTCCTAGTCAGCGGCCCACTTATTTTGAGCGAGCTTTCCCATAACCCTACTTCGTAGGCTCCAGCCCGCCGAAGATGGGCCCACCCGTGGTCCGCTAATCGTGACTGCCGACAGCACTATCAAGATTCGATCTTCGACAAGGGGAAAAAAAACCTTTTGACAATGAAAATTACCCGTTCGTCTTGCCGCCGATGGCCCCAACAACATCACCGCCACCCATACCGGTGTTTTTGCTGAAAAGCAGGTCCTCTCCCACCGACGCCTACGAAGACCTCTTCACAGCATCGACGGCGACGACAGATACTAATGAGCTTGCCCGCTTTGAGCCCACTTTTGTGCCGGTGCTTGAGCATCGCTTCGACGACGAAGGCATCGCGCGGTTGGCAGACCTGCTGAAGCGCCGTCAAATCACAAATGTCCCTCCGCAGTCGGACGGCGCCGACACCGCAAGTGGTCATTATGGAGGTCTAATCTTTACGTCGCAACGCGCAGTAGAGGCATTCAGTAAGGTGGTTTCGGACGGCGATGGCGCATCCGGGCATGAAAACGGCTGGCCGCATCTCCAAGATGTACCCATCTACAGTGTTGGGCCCGCAACGACGCGTGCATTAGGTGCCGTGGTCCAACAGCTGCCCTTGCAAGTGTTCGGCGAGCACACGGGCAACGGCGAAGACCTAGCCTACTACATACGGGGGCATTATGCACACTGGAAACGGTCGCAAATACATGGCATGCAGGAAAATTCGACGGCACCGCCGCCGTATGTGCCCGCCCTGCTGTTTGTGGTCGGCGAAAAAAGGCGCGACATCATCCCCAGGGTGTTAATGGGCGGTGACAAGTCAGACAGCGCTGCCCCCCGCATCCAGGTCGACGAGATCGTGGTTTATGGCACGGGCGTCATGCCGACCTTTGCAGCCGATTTTCAACGTGTGCTCGACACGACGCAGGACCGCTCAGTGCGCTGGGTTGTTGTCTTCTCACCCACAGGCTGTGACAGCATGTTGGCCGCCTTGGGCCTCCTTGACTCGGAAACGGGCAGAGCAAGAAAACCTGCGGACGGGACCCGCTCCGTGTTTGTGGCCACGATCGGCCCGACCACGCGTAGCTACCTTCAAGGTACGTTTGGTTTCGATGCGGATGTTTGCGCGGACGAGCCTAGCCCCCAGGGTATCCTGTATGGCATTCTGCAGTTTATGGCTGCTCGGGCCGCCAAGTGACACAGCCTTGATTCAGTCGACAAGTTGTACGACGGTCTACTTGGAGTTCATGGGCACGGTAGGAAAGTCGGATGTGTTTAATGCAGAAGTCGCATTTATGCGGTATGCATACGTGCATACCTTGTGAGAATATATATATATGTATATATTTAGTCGCCCAGTCGTTTTGGTTCTTCGTCTTTTTTCTTTTGAACATTAGCAGGGTCACTGTTCTAAATCAGGCTTTATATCAACATGGTAATCCGATTCCTGCTGTATATTATCATTAGTAGTAAAATTATACTAATAAAGCCATCGCTGCAACCAAAGCAAGAGATCAAAATGGCAACCAGGTTGGGAGTGGCGATTCAGTCAGCCTTGCAAAACCACTACGTCGCCTGGGCCACGTTTTTTTTTTTTTTTTTTTCGCCTTGTTGCCAACAGCCTTGCCCCCCAGTCGCTACGCCTCTCCCGTTTTTGTTTGCTCTTGTCATCCTTCCAGCGCTTCGCCGCCACTCCACCGTCAGACCTAAAACTGCCCCTAGCCCCAAAACAGCTTGCGCCTGTTGGAGGAGCATCGCATGCCCAGGTAGGCACCACAATATGGTTATTTATTTCCTTGTCTTACCACTCCGGGATACTGTCAAGGATTGTTCCCCGCCTAGACTGCTTCGTGAACCTCACCTTAGGCAACTCAACTCCTACCTCGACTTGGTCCCCTGACTCTCCCTTAGCTGTCCTGTCGCTTCTTATGTCAAGACTTCGGCTCCACTGATTTGTGTCGCCTCATACTCGACTTGGCTGTTGCCACGTTGTCTTCGACAGCTTTCCTGTATCCTCTCCAACCTGCGACGCATCCAGGCCTCTTTGGCCGGCCATATCCCGTCCGACCGGCATCACTACGCAGACTAGCTGCCATGAGCCACCATAGTGGCGGGCGTCCGTCCTCGGATCATGCACAGCCTCTGGATTACCCCTCATCCCACTCGCCGCCGGGCTCGTCCGGAGCAGCCACGCCGACATCGACATCAGGCGGCTCTTCGTCCTTCCTCTCTAACTCCTTCTACAACGCCTTTGGCGGTATCATCCGCCGTTTGTCATCTGATCCGGCCGGCCATCTGCAAACACACGCGGCGGATGGTAGCCGGCCCATCGACCATGCGGCCACCTTCCCCGCACCCAGCCCACATCAGGACCTCGGCCGTGGTGGCAGCCAATTCCCGCACTCACCAACATCCTTCTCCTTCGGTTCTAATAATAATGGAATTGACGGTGTCTATACACCGCCGATCGCCCGTTCTGCGTCGCCCCTTCGGCCGCCGCCACTTGAGCCGTTGGTCCTGAAAGGCTTCTCGTCAGATACGCCAGAGTCCGCACGCTTGTTGACGCCCTCAATTGCCGAGGAAATTCGCATCATGGTGCCCGAGCGCCTACGCATAGAGGAAAACTGGAAACTTGTTTACAGCTTAGACCAGGATGGTGCCAGCCTCGCAACTCTATACGATAAGACCTACAGACACGATGAACACCGTATTGGCTTCGTGCTGGTCGTCAAAGACCAAGAAGGAGGTGTACGCCCCCCTCCCCTCCTCCCTGTATATTCTCCGGCAGTCTGATAATTGACTCTTCCTTTGCCACCTGCATATAGATATTTGGAGCCTATCTGACGGAGCGCCCGCATCCTTCACCCCACTACTTCGGTACGGGCGAATGTTTCCTGTGGAGGGCGTCACTTCTGAGCCCGTTACCGCCTCCGCCGTCCGCCGACACTTCGAACCTCACAACACGAAGCACGACTATTGCGGCCTCACCACCACAATCCACGGTTGGAACTGCAGGCCAGTTATCCAGCCTGGACCTCCTCGCACCGGAAATATCGACACAGCCACCGCCATCACCGTCATCCATGCACCCACCTCCCAGCCCTTCCATCCGCTTCAGTGCATTTCCCTACAGTGGCGTCAATGAGTATTTCATCTATTGCGAGTCACATAGTTTGAGCGTTGGTGGCGGAGATGGAAAATATGGACTGTGGCTCAACGACAGTCTAGATAAGGGCATAAGTGCGACCTGTCTGACCTTTGGAAACCAGCCGCTGAGCGACGAAGGTGAAAAGTTCGGCGTCCTGGGCGTTGAAGTGTGGGTGATAGGATCTCGGAGGTGAGGGGTTAGCAGACCGGGACTGCTTTGTGGGCCTGGCCGTCTTTATTCTTTCCCAGTGGTTGGATCTGAGCGACCTGCAAATTGTATCACCTTATACGGAGTATATAGACTTGCGTCTCCTCTCTCTACCCCCCGCCTTTACCGTTTCTTGTCTGCCCATACATGTCCAGCGCATAAAATAGGTTGAGGATATAGCGCTGGAGCTAAGGATTGAACCGAATAAACATTCAAACCAGGGAGAGCGGAATATAAAATCATAATAAATTTGAAACGGAAAAGATATTTGCCAATGAAATGATCCAGTAAAGGTTATTTTTGAAAAAAAGAGAGAAATAGTGAATAAAACAGAATATGGAAAGTAAGGGCAAAGAAGATCATGAAATTTATCATCCGCCATCTCAAACAGCCTTGCATCCTAGAAATCGCGAGCGTCCCCCAATCTCACATTCACATATCCTGCCCTGTACCAGCCAGCTGTAGTCACCGCACCCCAAACCCACGTCGAAATCAAAATCAAAGTCAAAACATGAAACCAAAAATCAATAAAAAAAAAGACAAAACAAGACTGGCCGTCCCGGGAAGGAGGCTCCTCTCTCACCCTCTTGACTTCAATTTGCACATCGGCTACATTCACTTGGTTGATGTAGGACAAGATAATGCGACCAATAAAATCACCGCATGATCTCTTGGTAGATCAGCTGCTTCAGCTGCTCTTTGCTCAGGTTGTCTTTGTGCTTGTCAAAGTCAAAGAACTCTTCCGGAATTGGTGGTGCCGTCGGCTCATCGTCGGGGTCGTGGTAGGGCTCCAGGTATGGGTGCTTAAGGGCCTCTTCGACCGTGATGCGCTTCACCGGATTGAAGGCAAGGAGCTTTTCGAGAAGGTCCAGAGCGAGGTCTGACGTTTTAGGGAAGAGTGTCCGGAACTGCACCTTCTTCTTGAACGGAAGAGAGCGGATGTACTCTCTTGCGCGCCGTGACTTGATGCCGTAGTAGTCCTCCATCGTCGGTGTGCCAAGAACGTCCAAAATGAGCGTCAACTGGTGGTGATCTGTAATAAGAGTCAGACAAATGGCAGAAACACAACGGACACTTCTGTTTGAAGAAGATATTAAGGCGTAACTCACAGTCCTTTCCAGGAAACAGGGGCTTTCCACTAAGCATCTCGGCCAAAATGCACCCCACGGACCACACGTCGATGGCCTTAGTATACTCTTTGAAAGTCAACATAATTTCGGGTGCACGGTACCAACGTGTGGCAACGTATTCCGTCATGAAGCCTGAGTTGTCTTCCTGTGACGCTGCCGATCGTGCCAAGCCGAAATCGCAGACCTTCAGATCGCAGTTGGCGTTCAAAAGTAAGTTCGACGGCTTAAGATCACGGTGGAGGACGTTTGCGGAGTGCATTGCCTTGAGGGCACGAAGAGTCTGGTAGATGAAGTATTGGCAATGGTCGTCCGACAGGTCCTGCGTGCGAATCACGCGATGCATATCGGTCTCCATGAGTTCCTAGAGAGCGGGAGAGAAGCCACTTTTTTAGTCATTACCCTGTGATGAGGATTGCCAAACTGGGTGTGTTCGAAAAGCAGTAAGAGCAGGGACATACCTGGATCAGGTACACCTCGTTAAACGTTTCGTAGCTGCGAGGCTTTTGGATGTCGAGGATGGAAATAATGTTCTCGTGGTTGAAGTACCGCAATAGCTTCATCTCACGGAGTGTCCGTAGGCAGAACATGGAGTGATCGAAAGGTGTAATCTTCTTGATAGCAACTTTCTGGCCAGATGGTTTGTGTATGGCGGAGCTATATGAGGCAGACAATAGGGAGATGTCAGTCCTGGTGCTCATGTAATGCTGCTTGCTTTGCTGATCGACTAGACGAACGTACCAAACAACGCCATATGCTCCTTCACCAACAACATCTTGAATGTCGTACTGCTCGCTGACATTAAAGGAAATTTTGCGCGAACCCGCCGGGTTTGGGGGGTTGGCTCGCGACATGGCGGACTTCGTGGCTGGCTGGAATTGGATTCACTAAAATGATAATCTGTTAAAAAGGTCGCCCTAGGTTGGTGGGTAACTGGGGCAGCGATAAAAAGGGCGAGGCGATTGCAACTTCTCGGTGGTGAAAATGTGCAATGCGTGCATGCGCGCATGCGTGTGTGGGCGTGGGCGGACAATATATATGAATGCTAATATATGGCAAGAGACATTATGGAGGGGGAGGGGTTCGGAGGGGAACAGGGGCGCTCGATATTGCCTTGCAGCAGTACCAGCTGACGGCACAATGCGGGGAGCAAGAACAGCGAGAAACAGCCTTTGAAAAAAGCAACTACAGCTGTGCATAAGGAGGTGGAAGGCAAGGCAGCAAAATTGGGTGTAAAAATCAAAGTTTGTATTAAACAAGACAAACAGGAGGACGGCAAAAGGAACGTGACGATTAGTTCTCAATCGTGAAGAATCTCCCGTCGTGAAGATATGTGTGTTGAGGGAGAGAGACGGAGAGAGGGAGACAGAAAATAGGCTTCGTGCACGCAGGGGGACTTTGCATCGCTGCACCAAGAACCCTGAATACAGTAGCTGGGGGTAGGAAAGACAGGAAACGGATCCACTTGACTAACCGGTGTATCCAGGAGGCCGCAATCCGAAATGTCCAAGCACCCACGTTGAAATGCGGCCCTGCTTAGATACGAAACGAAGGACAAAGGTGAGGGCAGCAGGCGGACTGGCGCGAACGTGTAAAAAGTTGAGAATGGAAAGACGAGTAACACGATATTGGCAATATCGGGCACTGTACCGTGCCGTGAAGATTCTCGAAAACAGAAGTTGTCTCTGGACTTGCAATACGGCGCAAAAAAAGGGCGCTGTTGAGCAATTAGACAAAATGAGTTAGCAATGTTGAGCCAGACACGACCAGCCTGGCTTGCCGATGGTACGAAGGAGAGAAAAGGTATGGAGTGGAGGGTGCGTCTTGTGCTGTGGTGAAAACAGGGTGATTTGCGGGTTGTGCGAATAGAAAAGAGATGAGATGAAAGGAACGTTGACGCGATAGGGAGATGGGACGAGCGAGGACGGCATCGATGGACAAAGAGAATCGCGTAAGGCCGGCAAAGGGTTGGGGTGACCAAGGAGAGGCGAGATGTAAACACAAAGACATAGGCCGGGGAAGACAAGGAAACGCGAGGTCCGAGCAGCTATCCCGGAATCGTTCGACGGCGGATTGGTTTTGTCAAGGCGGGAGAAGGCTTCCAGAAGACATGGGGCAGCGCAGATCAAGTCTTCTCCTGCGAACCAGCCGGTATGCGAAACCCGCTGGAACAGGATGTCAGACGTCGTTCTGGAATATCGCGAGCTGACCTCCTAGAGAACAAATTCGAGTTGCGAGCTGCGAGGTCCCAGGTGAGGGCAGGGGCATCCGTTGTAATACCAGGGGGTTGGCAGGCGGGGGGTCGTGGAGTACGTGTCGCAGGTGCCATTCAGAAACCCAGAGGTTTAAAATGTGCCAGAACACGAATTGTACCGACAAGCGAGGGCCAAACTGGAGAAAAGCAGTTCACGTATTGTCTCTGAGGCAGGACCATGTACCAGTATGATCTTCAACGGTGACTGTGGCAGTTTCGGGACCTATGGATGTGGGCAAAGGGAGAGACGGGGATGCAAAACAAAACAAGATACCACAGGGGCAAAATGAAGGCCCGCTGAAGCTGCGTCCGTTACTCACCGCACTTGGTCGAACTTGTTGCCGTATTCGTGCTGGCTGGCCTTGGTGTGTCGCTCGAGGCAAAGAGAGATGCAGATGAGAAGACGTAGAAGAGAGGAACCGAAGGAACAGGAGAGAGTAGATGGAGAATCTACTTCGTAGAGAGCGGAGAATGGCGGGTGGAACAGCTGCCACGGAGGGAACAGGAGCTTCTATAGATGGTGGAGAAGTGACGAAAGGCAGAGGTGAAGGGTAATGTGAGCGGTGCTCTCGACTTTGCGACAGGAGTTGCCCCGCGCTGCTGTTTCGAATCTTGGGCTGTGCGTCGAAGGGGGGGGGGGGGGGGGTGT